CGGTGCAGTGAAACCTCCGGCCGCCCGCACTTCACGGGCTCGCGGAGACCTGGCGACCATGAGAAGCAATATGCATAACATGGTATAGCAGTGCCCTATGCAAATTGGTTTTAAGCGGGGGAAGTCAGCGCCGTTCCTAGCAAGTGTGCATATTCAAGTTACACCTGTTAAGGACGTTACGCCGGAGGCCATGATCTGGGCCCGCGCTCCGGTCGGTTGCGATGATATGGAAGGGAATTACCTCTCCGTCGGGTAGCTCGTGATCTGGATACCTATGGTTTCCTGCGCAGTCATCCAGCGCGGATAAGTTCAGAGGTACTTCAGATACAATGAAAGCGCCGTCAACCCCCGGAGTCCGAGAACAAAGTGGGCTCTGGTTATTAGTAAACAGTAAGATGCGCAGTGATATGTACTAGTACATGGATAGCGTCATGACAAGGCATCATGGCGGCTGACCGGATTTTGCTATACAGATTGACAGAAGACAGGTAGCGCGATCATTCAGATCGGGCTCTCCTGGGGCCCGCAGCCCACAACTACTGCCACTGCTGTATCCCGCCCCAATACTCACCGTCTTCCTCCCCTCTCCCCCTCCCCCGCCCTCCATCCTATGCGCCCTTCAGTCACCGCACCCGGACACAAAAACTCACTAGGCGTTGCCATCATATTCCGCATTGGCGTCACCGAGTTGTGGTGGGTCCACATGGTCCACCTCATCAGAGGATCTTCGATATGCGAGTCGCAGAAACAGAGTCGGGTAGTAGCGAGTTTCACAACCAGCTGGAAGATGTAATGTGATGTCGGAAAAATCTCCTCGTAGGGCAATCAAATCGTTTGACTCATGGTTCGTCGCTCCGCCGATGCTCCAATGGAGAAAAAAGTGCGAGGCTGGTGCACTGACGGATGAGCAACCCTCTGACAGAGTGACACCAAGCTTATCGATTCGTCCACCCCGATTGACGGCGCATCTGAGACCCAGGTGTTGCTAGAAGATTCTCGAGCGAGCCACGCGACTTGCGCCAAATTAGAAAATCTCCGAAACATGTCTTGTCGACGGGGTCGTGCGCGCAAGCGAAGCATTGCCAGTCTGTGCGTCTCCGCAACGATGTTTGGGATTCCTTGCTGGGGGATTCGTTGGTGACCGCGTCAACCGGAGCTGTTACGAGGGCGGGGGCCGGATGACTCGAATTATGCCTTGAGCGCTTCGAACGTCCTTTCCTGACGGTGCCGCTGTGGAGGAAGAAGGCGGCGATCTGGTGACTGGGCTTGCTGAGCCCCGCAAGGTCGACTGAGGTGAGTTGAGCATCCTCGAGGTCGACTTCGACATCGGAGACTTCCGATGGCCCGTTCGATGGGCTAAGTGAGTTCTCAAGCATGGCAGCCGTTGCTCATCGCATTCACCAGGCCAACGACTCTTCCTGCATATGAAATACGTTAGGTGCTGCACTCCCTCAACTATGCTAGGGCGACTGACCTGCTCGACCGTTTTTCCACTTTATTATCCTTCGACACATAGGCCCGAGGCGCGTCCACTGCTCGACGGCTCCCTTCGAGCCCTGTACACTGCGAACTTCCGTGTGCAGCCCGGCTTGGAATATTGGCGTCCGGGCCTCGTCGAGTGAGTGCTGCGCGTGCGCATTTTCGTCGTATGTATTTCCCTCAATAATGACTGTTGACTGATGGTGAGAAATTTTAGCAATGTGAGAAGAAAGGCCATTGAGCTCCTTTAAAACTCCTTCATGGTGGCGAATATAAACAAACATCTAAGCCACCGATGGCTGGCTGGACTGGAATACGCGCAGTTAAATTCCGGCATTCCTTCCTTTGGGTTTCCGAATGATTCGCAACGTCAATCTTATGAAGGTAAGATGGTTCCTTTTGATCCAGCTCTGTACACACAAATCTCTTAATGAAACCGTCTTCTAATGTGGTATTTGGCGCCGTTGTGTGGTGTACTAGTAAAATATCTGACCGCAGCAGCACTGTGGCGGTACTGTGGTACGGCCGCCGCCACGCCATCTCCACGCATCCTAGTTCCCCAGTACAATAAATAATACAAAGAATCGACACGCGTTCGATTTGGCCGTGCTGGCGCGCTCCCCTTAACATTCCCGCTTACTCGAAGACGATGCGTAGTCCATGGACGCGAAAGAGCTGGCGAGGCTCGATCGAACGAGAGCAGCCAAGGAATGGGATCGTCCGAACACGTATGCTTGAACGCAGTCAAGCTCGCATTGCAAATCGTTCCTTCAACCTTCTTATGTTTCAAGCTGTTTCGTTGCGTACTGATTCGAGCATTAATGGCGGTAGGATCCCGAGATAAATTCCACATCTTTCCTGACGATCTCAACTCAAGATTTTGGCGAGTGGTCTGCATCTCTGAGGGGAGAGTTTCGTGTCTCCTCTGGTTGTGAGATATCGAGATCTTCAACTTCGCACAATACGATACCGGCTCGGGATGGCTGGTAAGCTTCTGTCGGTAATGAGCATGGCTAACTCTGTGACACTGCCGAGGAAGCCCCAAAGACCAACCATAGTTTCGTGTTTTGTTCTTCAAAGACCTGGCAAGTAACGTCGGCTGGCCTTTACTGCTTGCAGAGTCTCTCCGGTTTTGGTAAATTTCTGGTGAATGTCGTTCGTGCCAACATTAATTATGGCTGTGCACTTCTTGCCAAGTTATGCACCAGTCCGTCGTGTCCCGACTTCTGTGGAGTTCGATTGACTGCCGATGGGGATGTGTACACCACTATTACCTATCAAGAGATGTTAGTACCTTTCGTTCGAAGAATAAGGACAGACTCAACACTTACTAACCCTCCCTGTATCACTTAGCATGTTTGTCGTTCAATGCGTCATTGCTGCCACTTCCGAAGGGTAGAATATGTCTTTTATATATGTTGGACAGATCCCGAAGACCACATACCTCCGGGTGGCATTAGTTTCAGCCCGGGCGCATGACTGAAATGCAACCACTCGCATCACGGAGAACGATGTCCATGACACGAAGGAAGGCTGACAGTCGTTCAGCCGTAAATGGGTTGTGGTGCGCGGTAGGCGAGGGGGGAGTATGGAGGGGAAGGGGGGTGAGGTGGGGTGGACGAGTGATGCTGCCTGGTTGAGCCTAGACTCCGTCGACCTTGGCCGAAGACAGAGTTGCAACAAACGAACGGCTTTCATCCCCCATATATGTGTAAGATCCGATCCATATCTCCTTCCTACCTCCACATGCCTATCTCCGTGAGTGTGTCTCGGTGTGGGTGCCCTCCGTGGGTGCTCTACTTACATGACGTGCTCTTTACTCTAGCTTCCTTCTTCCAGAAGGATCAGATAGAGGCATATAGCTATTATTATTCAAATCTCCCGACATCGAGAAGGGAAGAGAGAATCCGGCGGGCGGGACAGCTGTCACCGCAGCGGTACTCTTGCCGTGTCCGGTCCAGTTGCGGTATAACAAGTGTCTCTTCGGTCAAGCTCCGAGACGTGTCCAGATCTTGCGATACACACATGCCTCCAACCGCGCTATGTTTGCCCAACTAGAATTACGGTGTAGATTTTCGCAAACGACCAGTACCAAAAGTACGGCGGGCTTGGGATTTGACAACTCGCTACATGTTAACATAGCCCTGTGTAACCTCAGTTAGTACCACCCGCGCACGGAGTTAGACATGATGAGTACTTACACAGCCTTGATTAGTCCATGAGTCATATCCCAACGCAACTCACCAGGAAGAAGACTCTGAGTCCTCCCTCCCACCTGAATCTCCGGTACTTTTGTACCTTACCGCGCACGCAGGTGGTAGCAGAGGGCACCCCAGCCCGCAAAACAAAAGTTTCTAGCAATATCAGAATCCACACATGACTACCTCCTGACCATTGCTGGCGTTGAGTCTTGCTGACTCGTATCGGAGGATGAGATTCGGCTGTGTGTATCCATGAGGACGGGTTTTTAATGGGGACCGGCATTCCCCACAGTGTGCCAGGTGCTCCGGCAGCTGCTGAGCTCGGTTTCTGGGGAACCACAAACAATCTGCACGCCGAGACCGCCCGGCGCACCGGGACGTTGATCACATACGACTTCCCCAAGGTACGGTACCATACATTCGCATGTTCGTTAGGTAACTATCCTGCAAGCTCACGATCACCCCCGCAATTCCACTCGCCAGTTCCAAACGTGCATAGCCTTGGAATCCGCAGATACAATCACCACACGAAAGGTCCCTACTCCGGCCCGAAGACACTTCGAACCTCTTGGAGCGCCTGCAATCACTGCGTTGTCTTTGGCCCCCACTGTTCACAACCAATCGACCATAGATTCCTAGCTTTCATCCTTGAGGAACATCTGCAATCCTCCAAGCATCATCAATCCCGTTGCTATCCTCCAACCAACCAGGTATTTCCTCGTCCCGGTTCCGATCTGCAAGACTGCATGTGGCATGTGGCATGCTTATAGGCATTATCCCACTCAGATAAACATCCATAAACCAGACATTTTGTCATATATCAAAGCATCCAAGAACCCATAAATTGAGGTGGAAGATAACCGAAGTTGCAATTACCGCTCAAGCGCGATTTATCGCGCTTGACGGTGTGGTAACTCACAATAGAGCAGTGACGAATCACACACTATAGGCCCTCGAAGCACAGATCATCCCGAAACAAAGAGTGCGATTCGCGCAACCGGAAACCCCACAAATACCATCCTTTCTTTGGCTATGCAGATCCATCTCACGTTCCAGTAAGCATATGTACTTTATGTCGTGTTCTGTCCTTTCCCCGCCACATGTATAAAACAAGAGTACAGGACATGAGCATTGAGCACAAGTCACATCAGATGTAATGTACATAAAGCAAAGGATTTCGAGTAAAGTACAAAAGTCATTCTGTAGAAGAAAAGTTCAAACTGAACGTAAAAACAAACAAAAGACAAACATCGTTCCTTTCTGTTGATCCCAGCTCTTTCTTCACCATGAGTGGAAACAACAACCTTCATCACTCTCTCCCTTGTCCCCGACCAGTTCCCCATCCCTTGTTCGTTTTCTTTATCTTGTTCTTGGCCGCAATTGTGGTCCTCAGGAAGCCCTTCTCGTCGATCATGTCCTTCAGCGACTCCCAGCTTGTCCTCTCGGCGAGGACCGGGAAGGGCAGTGTTGGCGGCGGCACCAAACGTCTGTCACCAACTGAGCGCCTCACCAACGACGCCGACGAAGTCGTCCTCGACATGGGCACCTTTGGCTTTTTCGTGCCACTCAAGCCCAGTTTCTTCGCAGACCTAGCAACTCCGCTCGCAAAACCGGCAGCAATCTTGGACGGAAAGGAGCCTGCGCGCTCCACACCAGAGAAGCTGGCTTCGCTTTCTTTGTCGTGTTCGGAGGCGGCTTCACAGCGTTGCTGCTGCATTGAGATGAGTAGCGCACCAACACCCATACGTGGGATGGGTAATCCTGATACTCTTCGTAACGCTTTCGAATAGCGTGCTTCATGGACCTCGGGAGTACCATTCGCGCCTTCATGGACCTCCGAAGTACCATCCGCCTCTTCATAGAACTCGGAATTACCATCCGCCTCTTCACGGAACTCGGAAATAACATTCGCGTCTTCATGGACCTCGGGAGTACCATTCGCGTACGATCTTGAATAACGTGTCTGCAGTCGACGATGCCTCGAGGTGCTCTTCGATGAGCTCGTGCGGGCTTGATCGATCCAAATGTCTGACACAGGCGATGACGGCGGCGGAGTGGGCAGCAAACTTGTACGAGGATCCGAGGCTTGGACCGCAGTTGCTGGCGATACAGCTTCGATATCCTTGCCTTTAGCGTTTGCAGAAGCCTTAGAATTTGACGCTTTCACTATCTCGAAGGAACACTCGCTTTGTGACCCCTGTTCATAGAAATCTGAATGTCTCCGGGAGCCCATACGAATGTGAAAATGTCTCGATGACTGGTGTTGCTCTTCTCCAATCCTCCGAACGGGGGATAGCGCCTCCTCAGCAACCTCCGCAAATCCATCCAAGCGTTTCTTTGCGTCTTCGAAGTACGAGGCTCTAGCCTCCATTTGCTGTTTTATCTCATGAAGCGTCCTTGAAGGCAATTGTTGTCCGATGGGAAGCTGTGGAAGCTCGGACTCGCTATCGTTCTGACCATACAGGCTCGTGAGGTCTTCTTCACTCGGCAAGGCAGGTGAGAGACACGGGTACGAGCGACCGCTAGAATGTTGGGACTCTTCCTCGCTTTCTTCCTCGCTATTGATGTCTGGGGGGGTAAAAGGTGCACTTTCTTGGGAAGGTGTAATATTGTGGCATCGGATTGGTGTCGAGTAGAACTCGGAGTCGCTTCGGGTGTGTGTGACCTTCATGCGTAACCCAGTAGCGGATGGCATGTCCTCGATAGAATCGAGTTTTGCAATCACTTGTTTGATGTACCTTGGGGTTACCTCTTCGTGGTACTGCTCGAGTCTTGCATGAAGCTCCACGAATCGTTTCTGGTAGGACTCGTTCACGAGTTGGGCATCCTCGACGACAAGTGCCTGTTTGTCCAACTCTTCTTGCAGGAACTGGATTCGTGCTTCGAGCTCAGCCTTCTCCCGACGAAGCTCTTCGTTTTCCGCATCTTTCTGGCGACAGGTCTTCTGGAGCTTTTCTATGGCTCTGACACAGGCTTCGGACTTCTTCTGTTCGTAGTGTAATTTCATCTTGAGGTCAAAGTTCTGGTTCGCCATCTTTGACGTGTACTATTGTTAGATATTGTCAGTAGCCACTCCAAAATCGAAACAACGTGCCCCATACCGCCTGCGACTCTCTGATTCCCAGCTTGGCAATGGCTTCTGTGTCAGGACTGTGACTCTGAGGATCTTGGAAAGATCGGAGAGTGGTTCCGCCGAAGCTCCTGCAGCTGTTCTAGTGTAAGTATGTCACCAGGGAGACGGCGCATAAGAAGGTGCTCTCACGACTGAAAATCTGTGGAACTTCTGGCGGGCAAACTTTGCTCCCGCTGCGGAAATTTGATTGACATAGCGCGGGACGAGACGCACCGGTCGACGGGTGTGCGGTCAGACATGATTGCGGCGGAGTCGGGGGTAAGGGAATGATAGGTAATTGGAAGTGAGTTGGTAGGTACGAGAGTGAAAGGATGCCGACGGCCACAGCACGTGAGTGTGTGGTGGTTGAGGGGAAATGAGAACGAGAAGGAGAAGGAGAAGTAGCACTAGGCATAGTGGGGGGGACAACACCAGCGCAAATCCACTGACGTTCTAGAACTATAACAACAGCGAATAGCGTTCAAAGGTGTGGGCCCACAGCTCTTCCAACTCATGCCAACGATTGACCTTTTGCTGAGTGCGCCTCTTATTTAAACGTCAAACGATCCGCAAAATTGCATTTCTATTGATAAGAAGACAAATATCGAACTATGTCACAAGCTTCGACGGGTGGTTGATAACCTTGTGCAGATCAGTCGGCCACTAACCTAAGCGAAGATTTGGTGGTGGCTTGGAGTGTGATGTAGATCAGATTAGATTATATTGGAGAAGGCATTGCCAAGACTCATATCCTCCGCCTCTATCACGTGCTCGGGAGAACCATTTATGATTTCTAGAACATTCCACTAAGCCTGATAACGGCCAACCTCCTCCTCGGATCTTGTCTTCCCGCTCTCACTCTCACGCCATCTTCAACTCCAACTTCAACTCTATCTTCTTCCACATTACTTTTACTTGCATTCGTGTCTCTTGTTAAAACTTGACATACACTAGCCCATCAATTCCCCTCCAACACTGGTGCGTAACTTTACGTCTCCGAAACTCCGATTCCGCGGCTTAACTTTGACACCAGCTTTGACACATCACAATGGTTCTCCACAACCCCAAGTAAGTCACCATACGAGAATACGTGTGTTTCGATATTTGTTATGTGAACTTTTCTGACGTGTCTGTCATTTTCTTTCGGCTACAGCAACTGTACGCGTCTTCCCCGCAGTTACCACGTGTATTGATGGTCGCCATGGTGGATGCGTCGAAAGCTAATTGTTTCAACGTCAGGGCACTGGGTGAACAAGGACGCCCGCGAGTGGACAAAGGATTACTTCTCAGAGAATCTCACTGTCATCTCCGCTGAAGAGAACGGCGTCTCGGCCAAGATCACCAAGGTCCTGAGCATTGAGGGCGACTGTGATGTCAACCAGCGGAAGGGCAAGGTCGTTACTATCTTTGACCTCGTGGTGAAGCTCGAATACTCTGGTATCTCCTAGTCGGCGCAACACCCAACAATACGCTTTGTTGACATTGAATAGGCAAGAACGCTGATGGCGTGGAGGCCAATGGCACCATCGTTATTCCCGAGGTTGCTCACGACACCGAGGAAGGCGAGTACGTCGTATGTTCATCCTACCCGCACGCGTTCGAGTAAGTCTTCCAGCAGCTCACTCCAAGCCCATAGTTCGATATCAGCAACTACGCGGATACCAAGGACAAGCAGGTGATTCGCGATCTCGTCCGCACCCAGATTACCCCTCAGCTCCGCAAGGCCTTTGCCCGTCTTTCTCCAGACTTGATCGAGCACCATGCCAAGGATATTCAGCACGTTCCTGCTACCGATCCGGCTAAGAAAGCTGCTACTACTGCCACCACTGCTACCACCACCTCCTCTTCCGCTCAGGCCGCCGCAAAGCCGTCGAAATCGGCAGAGACTGCGCACTCCAAGGGAAGGGTCCTTAACACCGTTACAGTTTCGGAGACGTACGAGTTCAACACTTCGGCGGAGCAGCTGTACCAGACGTTTGTCGACCCGCAGCGTGTGACGGCTTTCACCCGGACACCCCCACAGGAGTTTGAGCCCAAGGAGGGTGGAAAGTTCAACCTATTTGGCGGAAACGTTGTGGGTACTTTCAAGACACTAGAACAGAACAAGAAGATCATTCAGGACTGGAGACTGGGCTCCTGGCCAAAGGGTGAGTGGGATCCCGTCGTAACTGGTATCAGTGCTGATGTTTTCTAGACCACTACTCAACTATGAACCTGGTCTTCGATCAGGGCAGCGACTCGACCAACCTGAGAGTCACCTGGACTGGCGTTCCTGTCGGCCAGGATGAGGTCAGCAAGAGGAACTTTGAGGACTATTACGTCCGCAGCATCAAGGCTACTTTTGGGTACGCAGGTTCCTTCCCCAGTCGTGTTGTTTCATCGTCGTCTGCACCCAAGAAACATAAAGCAAAGAAGACCAGCGTCGTTATAAAGGGAGCCTCTTGGCAGGATATGACACTTGAAATAATGGGTCCTGTACTTGTCGGGGCTGCCATCGCAGCCGCCGCTGCATATGTGGCCAGGTTGTATATGAGTTGACGAAACCGCTGCCGCTCCATCTTATTTTGTGTTTAGTTTTGTTCTGTTTTCTCTTTCTGGGTCGACAGTACTAACTGCTGGCTCGTGTTGTAATCTAGTTTCGGTGCGATTTTGTAGTTTCTCTCTCTCTGAATGTAACGATGAAGTTCTCTTTGGAGGTTTCCAAGAGGTGTACCTGAGAAGGGTCTCAAACTCGAGCTTCAAAAGGCTCGTGCTTTATTTTTGTTGTTTATTCATTGACTGCATTCAAAAGGCTCGTGCAACGATTACTCAAGCAGAGAGCTTGCGATGTGCGCAGAAGCAATGCCCCATAGGCTTTCGGGCTTTCCAGCTACGTGCTGATAAGCTCGAGCTCACACACAGATAACCTAGTATAGCCTGCAGCAGGGCCATGACATACTGTCGTTTGGGGCTCGGCTCACCTATGTGTCGATACGCTTCAGCCTTCAACTAGTGCCCGTAACTGTATGTAACGTAAGCTTTATTCGGGATTGAGGCGCCGTCCTGATGCCCGAATGGTACCGGCGACTATCCGGGCTGAACGCCGCTGGCGACCGGATGGACTGTGTAGAACCAACTTCTCGGGACGCAAGATGTCGACCCAACCTATGGAGTGGCGAGTTCACGTCGATCGGAGACGACACGGCATCGATAGAAACTCGGGGAAGCTTCGCTGCAATGTACAGGGATTAGTGTATGTTGATATAAGGTTTCCCCAGCTACGATGTCGAAATTACGTTTCGCAACTTTGTAAGTCGACTTTGACTTTCTTGCCATGTATAACCCCCTCCGAGTGCCGACTCTTCGGCTTGGAAACGCATCGACGAGTGATTACTAATGATGGCAATGCGTACCGTGATTGTGCACCAGTCTCCTGTTCGAGCGCGGGTTGGAGTATAGTGCCAGGGCAAGTCACAGGAGGAAAGACTGCGGGGGGCAGCGGAACTAGGGGTATGTTGCGGGGACAGTGACTGGAGCTTAGCAAAGCTAATTTGATGGTAAACGTGGCGGATTGACATCCTCGTTTTATGCTTGTCTTGAGGTCCAGCTGCTCGCGTTCAAACCAAGAAGTTTTTTTAGTTCGTGATTCGGTATTCCGCCGTTTCGGGTTCCATCAGTACTGTGTATCCGAATCCCCGTCTCCCCCAAGTTCTGCCTGGTCTCTCTGTTCATAAGAGATGCCAAACGGTGCATGGCCAGGCTATACTTTTTCGCCCGAAACATGTCGAATTGGAATGCGATGAACAGCTCCTCTCGCTGTTCTAAGTAATTCGGATACTTCTCAGTAATGTAAACACCACCCAAAGATCGATACAACTGAGCGTGTAGCTTGCGTAGTCTCCTTGCTTGTTGTTCCGCTGTCGGGTTGTCTCAAAGGGAGTCCGTCACTTAGAGTTGCTCTGAGCATACATGAACCAGCGGGTGCGCAGTTAGTAGTTAGTTTCTGTCCGAAGCTACCTCACCTCTCCTCCACCCTCACTCACACCTCACTCACCCTCTCACTCACACCGCACACACACTCACACTCCCTCTCCGCGTATCTTCCTCATTTTAAAGACACGTCCTCCCACAGTTCCTTCTTCTCCACACTGCTCTCTTCGCTCATAGATCACAAAACACAACCATCACCACGAGGATCGTTATCATCCAGAAAATGTCTAGAGTGCAGCACCTTTCACCCTTCTCTGTTGAGAGCTGGAATAACCTGGCAGAAATCCAGACGTCGGCAGGGTTCCCCATCATCACCACCCATGATGCCGGTGTCAATGGCAGAGACACCATTGAGTCGATGATTGCTGTCCCTGCTCCTGCTCCCGCTCCAGCTGGAAGTAGTGGATTGACGACGCCACAATCCTCGCATCAACGTCAGCCGTTTTCGGGCCCACCTGCTTTAAATGTACCTGATCGCTTACCTGCACCGCTTTCCGGTTCCGGCCCTCCATCCTTCGTTGGTTCCCCCTGCCTCTCTCTTATTCCGATCCACTTCCTGATAATACGACTTCACATAAGTTCAATCCTCCTGCCAACCCCTGCGACCCACACGTTCCGGGGTACTTCCCCCGCCACCTCTTCCGCTCACAAAGATCCCCACCGCCTATCGAGCTCCCCGATAGCGCAAGATACAACCCCGGACGACACTACCCCACACCACAGAGAACCCTCAACCCACAGGCCCTACACCCTAGGGAATGGGTCGATCATCAGCTCGAGATGGGTATTCTCCATGGAAGTTGGTTGCCTCCTCCGGACGTTATCAGAAGGCTTCGGCCTGACGATGAGGAGGGCCAACGCCGCTTGGTCAATATTCCGCAGACTCATCCTCCTCCGCATGTGCCAGCAGTGACCCAACGGAAAGTGTTACCGCAACAACAGAAAGGGTTACCGCAACAACGGATGTTGGCTTCGCCCATTCGGCCGGTACAGATGGGGGTTCAACAGCACGTCCAATCGGTCCGGGAGCAGCCTCGGGGGCAGCCTCGGGAACAGCCTCGGGGGCAACCTCGAGGGCAGCCTCGGGAGCAGCTTCGCGAGCAGCTTCGCAAGCAGCTTAGGGGGCAGCTTCGGGGGCAGCGTCGGCAGCAACAGACGGAACCACGGCAGACCGAACAGCTGCAAATCCAGCGGCAGCAAATCCAGCAGCCTTATGTGCCGCTGCAACAAGATCCCCAGTTCCTTCGCTCCATTCCACCACAGGATCGCCAGAAGATGACAGACTCGCCTCCGCAAAGGCTCGTATCAGAAGTCCCCGTGCAAATGAATCAACAAGTTTCGCCGCGCAGACCACAGGTGTCTCAGACAATTCAGCAGCCGCATGCGTTCCGACCAGCCGCTACTCACGACGAGCATTGGGCGGAGAGATTGGCATACCACGTCACCCCCACTCTTCAGCAACCGTCGAGGACAGTCGCGCCAGATTCCAGGTCGCAACCCGGGGGAATTCCGACATCCGTTGCAGTTCGCAGCAGGGCCATCTCCGAACAGGAGCGACAACGCCCTATTGTCAGGCTCAGGAACGGGGTTACCGCGGCACAGGTGGGCGTGGACGTACCGGGATAGCAACATGGGCACAGAGAGATCCTGCGGGAAGGAGTTGTGAACTTGCTTGTGGATGAATTTGAAGTTGAAGAAGTGCCATTCGTGGTTTTGCTTGGTTCTGATGAATATTTGTTCTCAATACTTTGGCTGGAAGTTTTTTACCCTCTGATTCTAGCATGTCGATCCCTTGACGAATCCCATGCTAAGGTTAGATGTGACTGCTGTGCACTTCCGGCTATTGTGGGTGTCTACCTGGCTTCTTCATGTAACTTTGTTTAGTGCTGGCTATTTTAGCCATTGCAGCTTTGCTATCAGTTACACTGGCATAGCTACTACCTAGCGTTTCTGTTTTTGATGGGCATCTGATTGTTCGTTCGACTGTCTGCTTGCTTGTTACTATGTTGTTGGACATATTGTGGTACTTGCGGAAAGGCTGCTTTTGGAGGAAAAAAAATGTACATTGCAGGCTTGGGATTCAAGACTAGATCCGATGCGGTCGCTTTGAAGTTGAAATGTTCTCTGTTGCTGCTTTTATGTTCGTCTACCTAGTCGGTCGGTCTCTTGTGGGTGTGGAGTCTATCTGGCTTCTTCATGTACCTTTTTTTGGTGCTGGCTATGTTGGCCATTGCAGCTTTGCTTTCTGGTTGTTTTCTAGTCAATAAAATCAGTCTCACCAATTACCAGTACCCGTCAGAGGTCTCTCACTGGACGCTGTTAACAAATGAAGTGATGTGGTAAACAGTACACAATACTCTTTACCCTCACGTAGAGCCCTACGCCACTTCCGCGGCTAACCTCCCTTTCCTATTCCAATGCCACTTGTAGTTACCACAACCGCCAGACAGTACCTATGGCGACTTACTGTGCCGTGCCGTTAACTTTGTAGCGCGGGCGGATGTATGGCTAGCTAGACGCGAGGACAGACGCAGTAAATTCAGCGGTGCCTCTAAACTGTGATGACCTTGAACGTTGTGGGACCTTAACATCTCCTCCAGTCGTTGAGTCGTTGCCATGCCGCGGTGGTGGTGGTAGTGGCGGCGTCGGCGGCAAATGTATATTCGAGCGCGCGGCTGTCTGACCTCACACCACACACACTGACCAATCAAAGCCCAATCAAAGCTCCGGGCTCAAAATCCCCACTTCTCGCCCTGTGCCATGTGGGTATATCATCGTATCGTATATAAGTTTTTGCTACAAACACTTCCCATCCCATCCCGTCCCGTACCATATGTACATACCCCCCATCCCCCGCATCCCACCTACCTTTCATGTCCCCTCTTATCATTAAAAAGGGAAACAGAATGAAAACCAATACGCGAAAAAAAAACGTAAAACAACAGAAAAAAAAGAACTCCGCATTCTCCCCTCCTCTTTCTTTCACCCCCACGATCCACCGACCGAACCAAATCAAGTAATAAAAAAAAAACAACAGTCAATACTCATTCATATGGGACGGATAGTAGTAGCATAGAAAACCGTTCGCCTTCAACCGAGTCGAACCTTCACTATTCACCCAATTTTGTGTGTGTATCGGGGTATGATCCGATCGACTTGTACCCCCCAGTCGTAATAAAAAAAACAAGCAGAAAAGTAAAAACACACCAGTACCATTTCCAAAGTGCTTCGTCCGGTATATAGATGTGAAGAAGATAAAGCAATTGGGGCACCAAAACCGGGACACTGTAAAATCAAAAAGGAAAAAAAGAAGTGAATGCAAAGAAACGCAACGCAACCAACGCCATGGGTAATATAAACGAATAGGAGGAACAATGAAAGGGATAAACGGGTGTCGTTAAAACGGGAATAATAACGTCGTGTTGGGCTGGTGGTAGCCATCCCAGTAAGCCATCACCGTCACCGATGACGGCGAACTCGCGCAGGATTAAAAGCCATCGTCATCGGCTGAATCTCATAATTATCAGCCGCGCTCCAAAATTCTCTGGTTTATAGGGTACACACCTTCATCCATAGGATCACTGCCCTCCGGAATCTCTTTGCCATGGAGATCCACCACGATTCTTCGTCCCCGTTGATCTTCGGGTACGCCGTCTCTCGCAGCGCCAAAATCCAGAACCTACAACGAAATCATGTCAGCAATGAGCCCACTAGAAACACGGCAAAGGTGGAGGGCAAACAAACCTCAATATAAGTAACCTGGTCTCTCTGTACAGCAGCAACGCATCGTCTCTCGTTGAACTTAACTTGCCAAACGCCTGTCAGGTCCGTCAACAGGTCCCTGATGAACTCTCCAGTCTTGATATTCCACATCTTGAGCGTCTTATCTGAACCCGAGATGACCTTTGTTTCATCGTGCTGGAAGCATGTTATTGCCCCGGTGTGGGCGGTCAACGTGTGCTTGCATTGACCTGTTTCGGGGTCCCAGATGCGAAGCGTCGAGTCTGCTGCTGCCGAGACAAGCTTATCGTGACTCAGATCGAGCAGCCCGACAAGCTGACTGTGCCCCTCGAGGGTGTAGATAACCGAGCCAGTATCGAGCGACCAGACCTTGACCATGTTGTCCATGCTCCCGCTGATGCATCGATTCCTCTTATGGTCCAGAACGACGCTGTAAACTTTCTGGGAGTGGCCCCGCAGAGTGTGTAACGTCTCACCGGTAGAAACCTTCCACACCTTAACTGTGTGGTCGTAGCTTCCACTGACCAGCGTATCTCCGTATGCGGATATAGCACGGACGGAGTGTTGGTGTCCCTGCAATGTGCGGACAAAGTACGGGTTGTTGCTGGGGTTCATGAACGTGTCATTATCTTGGCCGGAAAGGTAGGTCTGATCCCCGGGCATCGGAAGCTTCCAAACCCGCAGGGTGGAATCGCGAGACCCGGTGATGATCAGAGGCACCTTAGGCATCCTGAGGTCCCTCCCGTCAGGCTTGATTCCAACCTTCGTAGGCATGAGAATCTGCAGACACCGCACCGTGGAAGTATGCCCATGGAAGATCTGAGTGCATCGTCCACCAGCGATATCCCACACCCGAACGGTCCTATCCGTCGAACCTGACACCAATGTGTTCCCTTCATACTGGAGAGCCCACACTCCTCCCTCGTGGCCTTCCAAAGTATTTCTCAACACACCAGTGTTCGTGTCGTAAACATTGATATTGGTGTCATCCGATCCAGTCAAAATCTTATCGGTATCGAACTGCAGACATGTGACAACATGCCGTTGATGGCCTCGGAAAGAGATATGTTTCGGCTTGACGTCAGGCCGGATCCAGCTCTTTCGAATGATATGATGCCTCCGATAGATAGACTTGAACAGGTGTAGGTTCCTCAACGAGGGAAGCCCAACTGCAGCCTTATTGTAAGCCTTCTCGGCAGCATCGGCAGCAGTGATCGGGCCGGCAGAGTTGGAGATGATTTCCGAAATGACTTCATTAAACTCTTCCTTCCCAAGAGTCTCAACAGCATCACGTTTCTTCTTCTGCTGTCGAGAAACTGCCCGAGTGACCTTTCTCTTGAACTTGCTGCTCATGCCGAATGATGACGAACCACTTGACCGAGAATGTCCGAGGTTGCTATTGATATCCATTTCGCAATCATCATCACCCCTCGGATCCTGATAGCCCCAGCCTTCACGAACAGCCCGATCCAATTCCCCTTCCTGAAGCTGGAATCCGTCCTGCTCAAAGAGCTTCTTCCATGTCCACTCATCCGAATCGACTATCAATCTCCATCGTTTTGATACCTGGGCAGCATTGCACAAACTCTTGAGGTCGAGATATTTGATTATGTCTAGGGCCAGTTCCGACGGAAGAAGGGTCAGGAAATCACACATCAAAGCAGGGTTGACCACTCCAGCAACTGTCTGAAGGGTATGTTTGGAACACCGGCGAAGCAGTTGGTACATGACATAGGATTTGACGGCGGACGGCATAGCATCGAACGAGTCCAGCATGTTTGGAATATCCATCAATCCCCCAGATGGGTTTCTTCCACCCACCGAAAGGTCCAGTTGCGAGAGCTCTCTCGCAGGCGTGGGGATGACGGGCATATCACTGATGTCAAGCATATCCTCTTCTTCAGCTCCTTGAAGATCAAGTGGCGATGCGATATCTTCCGTTTCCATGGACGCGAAGTATCCGTGGTTTCCATGATGAAGAGCCGCAGTCACAGGACTCAAACTTGGACTCGGCAGACTGAGCGGCAACTCTCCAGTTAACCCCTCGATCCCGGCCACCGTAGTGGCTGGCGAACCCCCATGTACGGTATCATCCGAATCCATCTCTTCTTGTAGTGTCGGCGTACCACGTATGTTCGACTCATCATCGTCAACTTCAGGCCCGAGTTGCGGTGAACCATTAAGCGGCGTTTCCTGTTGCTGGGCTTGACTAGGTGTACGGGGCTGTGGTGACATCAGGGGTGTCGAATTCTGGATCTGGGCAATCTGTTGGTGCAGCAGCGGTCGTACCGGCCGAGGGGCATGAGTGGGAATAGCAGTGACCTGGGTATCATTTTCTTGGCTGGTGTGTGGTGTGGTATTCCGACTCGACCGTGTAACTTTCTTGGGAGATGGTGTATTGGGTTTACCGGGAGCCCCAGTACGTGACCGCATTGTCTGCCGGCGCTTCTGGCTCCTATGTTGCAACGACGCCACGCGTTCAGCAGCCTCCGATAATATTGGCACGGGGGAGGCCGGCCGTTTCCTACTCAAGCCGTGCTGACTTGATGGCATGGTGGCAGACGCCGGGGGGCTGGTCAGTAGATTATCCGGAAGCACGAACTGTTCGCTCTCGCGGATTTCTTTCCGTATGACGCCGTTGTTCTGATGCAGGTCCTGAACCAGTTGATCGAGCTAAAGAGTATTAGTTCGTGGGTTCTCCTCTTCATGCATACGCCTCCAGGGGGCGGTAACATATACCTGGCGTATAGAATCCTCCGCGTTATCATCCTCTCGAAAGTACGTCGGCTTTCCGTTGACATCGAAGCAGAACCGTTTCAAAGAAGCGGGAGTTGGCACCGAGGCCAGAGGGTATTCCTTCGGGTCCAGCTCGTTCAACTGCCTTGGGGGCTTCATCACCAACGGGGGAAAGGTGGTAGTTGTCGTGGTCGTGGTCGTGACGACAGTAGTCTGGGTTGTCGGAGCGTACGAAAACTGCCCTACTGTGGTGTAGGGAGGCATTTTCTTCCTTCTCGATTCCACGGCCATCATCGTCGGGTAGTGTCTATCCAAGGTAGATGTCCGCGAGACGGCGGGTGTTGGTATGGCGTTATGATGTTGGCTTCGCCTTGGATGAGCATTTGGGACGGATGGCGGGTCCATAGAGTGGAGCGTCCTAGTTAGCACCGTCCTTTCAGCGGGGGAACTGATAGAGGTTGATCTGTAGTCTAAGAACTGGAGAGAATGATTTTATTCTTTCTCGATGGTTTCTCTGACGTGACCGAAAGGCGTAGATCCGAGACGGGAAGGTGTTCCGGACGAGGAGTGGTGTTGAGGACGAAGTGTGGTGTTGATTAAGGGCGTCGAACAGATAAACGATTAAAGACTCGTCCGTGGCGACAGGGACGTGTTTTGATGTTGCCCTTGATTCGAAACGGAGGGCACGATGGCACAGCGTGTTATTTGGGTTGCCTTGGGAGGAAGATCGAAGGAGTTGTCGAGGGGCGTCGGTACGGGAACCGAATATAGGAAACTCCTTTGATAGGTGCTTCCCCGGAGGACGCGAAGTGAAATAAGGTCGAAAGGGGGGTGAACCGAAGGTGATGAAGCAAGGGACGTGATGGTGGGGGAGGGTCGAGGAAGAGGGAAGGGAGGTGGGAGGGAGAGGTGTAGGGAAGAGGAGGTCGAGAATACCGAGTCCCGTGTGTGGAGTTGGCGTCGTGGTTGTTGTAGAAAAGGAGGGAAGTCGTTATCGATGTGTAATGGCCGACGACTCGGGGAGGGGAAGAAGGGGTGTTGGTGGATTTGGGAGCGATGGGGTTGGGGGTATTTTGGGGATGGGGGGATGGGGGGTGTATATTCCGTGGGAGGCGTCCAACTCACTTCTCCGTCACTCTTCCTCACTTCTCTCACTCTCGGCGTTGGTTAATGCGAGAGGGAATCCTTGACTTCTTCCTTCCGCTCTCTATTTCTCTCTCTTTTATCTACAAGCGGGAGTTGCTCCGCTGCTTTCGGAGAGCGTGTCGCTGCTCGGTGGCGCTTCTCGTGTAGAGTTAAAGTGATGAGTGGAGGAGATATCAGAGACGTGTAGGGTATTAACCAAGTAATGTGATTTATAACAGCGAGAACCACGGCGAACAAGCGCAGGAGAAGATGATGACGATAAACATGAAGATAATCTCTGCGATTACGCTGAACACGGTGAGCAAAGAAGCAGCCGTGCAAAATCCGTGAAAAAATCCAGAATTGATTCCCCAATCAACCAACCAATGGGGAGGGAAATAGATTGAAAAGCGGCCAAGAGAAGATCTAGAGTAGAAGGCGAATGTGGATCGCCATGGATGGCTCGCCACGAAATAGCGACACAAAACCGGCGCCCCGTGAAGAATGAGGAGAAGACGCAAAGTGAGGGGATCCGCAGTCTAGAGCTACCGGCACCGGCTCTCCACATAATAGGCATAGGGATATAAGGATGGAGGACGGAAGGTGGAGATCAAAGAAAAGAAGAAAAGAAAAGAAATATCATGAGACGCACGACACGCTTCCCTCCATATCAACACTTGGTAGCATCACCATCGACATTCGTCGATGTCTTCCCTATTCTGCAGGGAGTGGGGGAGATGCTGGCTGCAAGAAGGCTCTCCACATCGGCCGGCCAGAAGCGGACGGTATTCGCGGCCAGGCGTCATGTTCATCTATCGATCAGACTCTGCCTTGCGCATAAAGGATAGGGATTCCGGGTATCACTGGATGCATACATTGGGTACTCAGGTCCTGTTCGCCATTTCTTCACGGCCGGACCTATCCGCTGTCCGCCCACCCACCACACAAAATCCGATATGCTGCAGCTTCCGACACGAATAATCCCACCTATACCGCCCTTCACCCCGCGGAGGAGCCGCCATACATTAAATTAAAGTTCGGACCCAGCCTTTAAGGAGAAGAAGACATCGACCTCCAGCTCCACGAACAAGCTTTTCACAAACTCAGTCAGATATAACCTCCAGATTCCTCCTCTTCCTCTTCTAGAGCATGTGGAGCTCACGAAACTCTATAGAACCCACGGCACGCGGACGCCCCGCATTCAAGCCCTTCCCTTCCCGTGAGGATCCCGTCTCAGCGCACCTGAACACATGCACGCACTCGCGGGCCCAGCTGGCCCAGCCCTCGACGGGCTTTTCCCTTCAAGCTAGGAGCCCTCGAGCGTTAACGCCGGCGGTAGATGTTCTTTGTCTTCTCCAGGCACGCCCGTGGGTGGTCATGACATCATTCCTCTCTCTAGACCACTGGTGCCGCTCGGACTGGTGCTGGACAATAACTAGAGGAACTATCGCTGGCGTTATTCGGTGCTGCAAAACATCCGGCCATACATACACGCCATAGCCAGGGTGGATCAGATCTGGGCCGGGCGGCCAGACAGCCATCCAGCGAGACAGCCATCCATCCAGCCAGCCATCCATCCAGCCAGCCAGCCAAAACCCGGCCGAGCGCTCGAACGAACGAACTCTAGGTGTCGAAGAAATCCAGAAATCCACATCTCCCCGTGCGTACGCCGTCTTCGACTTTGACTTCGTGTCTCCGCACCCCCCTCCTCCCTCCCCCCACGCGTACATAGCACCCCCATCCATCCATCCATCCACCCATCCCACGCACGCAGCAGTGCGCACACGCGACAAAGAAACCCCGACCGGCCCCAACACAACCTAGGTTACCCAAGTTATGTACCAACCCCCCACCAGAGCCCAGCCCAGACCCCGCCGCCCCACCCTGGATCCCCGCTGAGATCCCGCCCGCGCGCGCAACCAGTTCGATGGAATTATCGTAAGGCTGAACGAACGTTCCTTCCCGCTCTGGCTCCGGCGCCGCGCTCCGGTACTGTGCTCCGCACAGACCGCCCGCACCCCGTCCGCAAAACTGTAGGTATGTTATGTATGCACATCGCCGCTGGAGCGGACATTCCTCTTCTTTGCCGTGTGTAGAGTCGATATGTATAATGTAGGTCCCTATCTGCGGCCGGGTGTATTGTACATACAAAGAATTCGTCAACGACCTGTCACATTCCTCACACGTACCTCCCTACCACCTAGTACGTAGCCTACCACGTCGACCCCCGTCCAGCGTCCGGGCAGACGATCAGCCTTGAGGCGAATGGACGAGAGGGAAAGAAAAAAAAGGCGATGAAACCACGGCATTCCCGGGTTTTGATTCGCCAGACGAGCCGATCTATGGGACGGGGCAGGGTCCCGAGGTTGGCAGCGAATAGAGCCGCTGCGATCACTGGAACCTGTCTGTCCAATCCAATCACTCGTGTTTCTTGCCTGTCTGCTTTCTTGTACTGTAGAGCCCCCGAGGAGCCCCGCTTTACTCTACTCAAGCGCAATCTCAAGCTCATGCTCAAGTTCATAGAATCAACTCGTCTATATACAACAGATCATCTTCATCTTCATCTTCTTCTTCATGATAACCGCCCTTCTAACTATCCCTCCTCTCCATCTAGAGCAATCGTTATGGAAAGCAAACAATCCTCGTCACCAGCTACCCATACAATGGTACGGTAATAATCGAAGCAAAAAACCCCCCGTAGAAATGTAAAGCAAAATGTGCGCGCTATGGAAGGAAGAAAAAAAACTCAAGACGCCAGATCCAATATTCCCATGCCCCATGCCCATGCCCGTTTCTCCTCGAATCAATACTCCATGAAATTCCGAAACGCCCTTGGTGCTCGTTCTCTTCCCGTCCCGTCCACCGCCGGCAATTAGGTCTCTCCTCCTCCTGCAATGCAGCCCGAACATATAGTTGAGCGAAGAAAAACAGTATAACGTAGTAAAAACAGTGTAGCGCTCGGAAGGAAATGTAAGAAAACAGCGAGGTCATGACATAGCGTTCCGGCCAAAGACCCACGCCATCCAGTTGCGCTTCTCGACCTTCTCGACGCGCACCGGGGGCGGTGAAGATTCCGAGCGGGCGCCGGTGCTCCTCCGCAGAACCTGTTCCCACTCCTTCGGCTGCTCCATACGCTTCGCTTCGCAGATGCTCCCCCATTCGCTCAGCTGGCGGACGAATCCAAGATTCGGACAGACGATGGAGCGGCGCCGCTTGACGATGCGGAGGGCTTGTCCAAAGGTCATGCCGCGCTCCGCCATGAGGTACGCGATCACGGCCGAGGCCGAGCGCGACACTCCTTCAACGCAGTGCACGAGAACCTTCGAGTCCTCCGACTCGCCGAACGCGGAATTGATGAATGCCACCACTTCCGGAAGTCGGCTGAGGATGTCGGTCGTGCTCGTGTCGCTGATCGGGATGATTTGGTGAGTGATACCCGCCGGCATCCGCGGCGCTTCTTCGGCCGTGACGATCGAGAGGACATGGGTGAACCCGTACTCGGCGAGTGTCGGCGCGGACGAGGCGGCGGTAATGCCGGAAAGGTAGAGCCTTCCTGGGAGGATTGATGAGACGACGGCGCGCATTGGTAACGAGGGCGTGTCGGCGGTCGACTTGGGCCACGAGAAGGAGAATGAGGAGCTTGCGCGAGTTGCTATGCGCGTGAGGGTCTCTTGTAGCAAAGGGTGCTTTTCGAAGGTACTCTGCAGATAGAGCCGCAGCAGGCGCCGCAGGAAGTTTTCGAGAATCATCTTGTGTGTTGTTATGAGTGCGACCGGTTTCGGATAACTGCGTCAAGTGGTTCGGTTATTCTGTGTGTCAGTTGTTGCGAGAAGTTGGGGGAGTTTTGTTCTCTAGTGCGACGGCGATAGAAGAAATTGAATATCGGGGGTGATGGACAGGGAACGGTGGTCTTCCTGCTGTGCTTTATGGTGGGGTGGTGCTTGCTGGGTAAATAGAGTGGAGGTGGAGGTGGAGGCAGAGGGGGTGGGTCGTGTGGGTAGCTGCAGGCGTGTTCTTCGACTTGCGGGCAGTTGGGATGTTGGTTGGTTGGTTGAAGGGAGAACTTGGGGAGAAAGCGGTAACGTAACAACTTCAAGACGCAGACGCTTGCGGAGGAGGAAGATTGTGAGACAGGGCTTGTGAGTGCTCGTACACTAGTCCTTTTCCCAATTTCCAGGGAAAACCCAGGGCCTGAGTGCATTCCAGTGGTTAAGCGCAGCAAATCGTGTCATTTTTACATAGAGCGAGCACTCGCCTCATCTGTCCCACCGCGGTTCCTCCGGCCACCGGTAAGTGGGTTGATGCTAGCGTGAGAGCGTGATCAAACTAACGGAAGGTAGGGAGATGCGATGTAGAGTACGCAGGAAGTACGCAGGAATCCTCTCCTCGGAGTCCCGTCCTCGGAACAACATCACTCTCATCTTCCATGCCTACATACCGGTACTTGCTCATCACCAGCATCTCCGAGCCTCATTCCGTGCTTTACTCTACCCGACGCATACATAGACCGCTGGGCAGCTATCCATTTCTTCCCTGCGCTATCCCCGTCAAATGCGCTTCCACCCTCGTATCTATCCGTGTCTCCCGCGCCATCATCCCAGTCTTTCCGCCGTTTTTACGCCTTTTGCCGTCGTTATCCTTGCACTTGGGTTCTGCGCCGGAGCTCCGACAGTGCTGTAGCTTCGAGAAAAGCTGTTGTTGCGCGGACGTCGGACTTTATAAACCAGATGATCGAATTCGCGAGAGACGTCAACCATTTACACGTATCAGACGGCGACAGACAGCGACGATGCCATACTTTCAAACTCTTCAGGACAGACGCTTGTCTCGGCAGGATGCAGACATCCCGGCATTTGCCAGACGTACTCTAGGCGACGAAGAGCTATGCGTTGTAAGGGCGGATTTGCGTTCATGGCCTGGGATGTCGGCTGCGGTAAAGTGCCGGCATCATACTACCGGTCGTACGGGTTTGAAATTTGAAGAAACCGACACCTTGCCCCCTGTGGCCGGTTGCGGATCGTACCGGCATTTGGAAGTGCCCGTGTTCTCTCGAATTCAGTACCTACCGGTAGGTACTTGGGTAAGTACTTGCCTGGGTATTCAGTAGATGTTTCAAGCCGACAGTCCAGCCTGTGATGATGACCCAGAGTCTATGTGCCGGTCACATCTCGGAGTATAATCACGTCGGGATGCGAAGCGGAAGCGGCTCCGGGATCTGTATGGCGGGCTAGGAGGGCGCGTGCGGTGGGTTTGGCGGCGGCGGTGGAGACAATATAGTACTTTCGAATCGGCTTCGAAGCTTCTAGTAGCCCATAACAGCGACTTCCCTCGATGGCCAAAAGGAGAGACAAACACGACGGAGTCGGATAAGGCACGCAGTTGCAAAAAGCAAATCGCACGGTGGAAAGCGGATCCAGCTGGACCCGTTAATCGAAAGCGGCGATAGAAGCGGCGGCGGCGGTGGCGTTAAAGCTTAATGAGAAGGAAAGGACGACAAAAGAAGTATTCGACCTTTGTATCATGACTGTGTTGCGAATCCGTGTCTCCTACCAATGTCCTTTGGCGCGATGTGGGTTCCTGTTGTTCTTCGTCCAGCGCGCGCGAGAGAGAAGGAGAGAGCATCATTTTATTGTCGCATTGTCGCATACGGCCTGTCTATTAGTATCGGTACTAGGCCATGACGATCACAAACACCGACTCCGCAGGACTTGTGTTCAATCATCACTGCATTCGACCTTGCCCTCCGCAGGACGTCAAAAGCGGGGGGGCCCCTGCAGGCTGCAGAGTAGGCGCGCGAGTGCTCTGCAGTGATCGCCCGCCCCCACGAATCGCCGAGAGGTTATAACTATAACAGATTTGCATCCGATCCCATGCGGCACCGTTCCTACGTCGGTTTGCGTGTATTGTACATATACATCGCCACTCTTCAAGAGACCGTCTATTCCACTCCATATCGCTGGTACTTACTCTACCTCTGTTCTTCCTGTGTGAAAAAACAGTAATAACGTACCGAACGTCGTAATGCCCCGGATCTGCATGGGGCTGAGTGCCCGAGCTCGATGCACGATGTTCTGTTGGGCCGCATCGTTGTTGTACTCTGCCCAGCGAACCAGAGACATCCGCACTCGCTGCCGGCCAGGTCTTGCTGCAGGACAGACCAAAACGCCGTAGTCACCCTACCACCCCCAGTTGCCGGGTTATGTTGCACTGCTGCTCTGGTCTGCCTTGTTATAGGTATCTCACTTCTTCCTCGTTGCTCCGATTTCACTTATAGACGGCATCTCTCCCTCGTCCTCGTCCTCGTCCTCGTCCTCGTCTGTCTCCCCGTCACTACATACTGGAAAAGCACACCCGACACTCGCTCTCCAACTCTGTCTGAATCATTCCGCCTGGCGTTGTATTGTGTGCATCTCCTTTCGCTGAACTTTCCCGTCCACTGGCATACGTCCCTCGATGCATCCCCTTGTACTGGTCATATCATGCATCATCACATCGTCCGCTGCTGAATATGGCTATCCTCCGCCGGTAACTGGCACCAAACAAATCAGTACTCCCGGAGACCCGGATGTCATCATCACGTACAAAGAGCCGGGCAACGAGATCTGTCGGACGTGGTATCCGGACCAGAAGCAGTTTGCCGGGCATGTCCATCTTCCGCCGAGCACGTTGACGGCCATCAGACAGGACTACCCCATCAACACCTTCTTCTGGTTCATTGAGGCTCGGGAAAATCCGAAGGATGCGCCATTGACCATCTGGCTCAATGGAGGACCTGGTATGTGGTCTCCAGCCGAAAGAAGCTGCCGGTTGCTGATGCAAATGTCTTAGGGAGCTCGTCGATGCTTGGGCTGATGCAGGAGGTCGGGCCCTGTAAAGTGGTTCCGGCGAGCAAAGAATCACTCACCACGATCCCACGAGAGGTAGGTACCTGGTGTAAGATTTCTGCCGGGTACTCGAAATAGTGACTGATGCGATTTTTAGTTCAGCTGGGATGGTGCGAGTAATATGCTCTTCATTGATCAGGTACACATCATACATACGGCTGGGTACTTGGGTGTCCGCTTACTTCGGACCGTTATGCTTATTCGAGACGCTTAGCCGAACCAAGTTGGACTTTCTTACGATACACCAACAAACGGCTCCCGAGCTTTGTTGGATCCGAATGCAGATCATATGCCTGGAAAAGTTGCGCCTCCCCAAGACGACCAACCAAAGGCATCCGAAGTCACCCCTGCGAACGACACCAATGCAGCCTTTCTCGAGGCACTGCGCACCGTGGCATTGATCAATGGAACATTCTCCTCGGACAACGCAGATTTCACCGTGAACACGACCCAGATCGCGGCTGTGGCTACCTGGCACTTCCTTCAAGCGTGGTTGACCAACTTCCCGCAGTACGCTGGCTCATCGAGCGTCAATCTCTTCGCTGAGAGCTACGGTGGAAAGTATGGCCCCACATTCTTTGAATACTTCGACAAGCAGAATAAGCGCCGAGAAACGGGCGAGCTTCCTAAGAACGAGACGGTGGAGATCAAACTGGAGGCACTGGGCATCCTCAATGGATGCATTGACGTCTTGACGATGACTCCTGCGTACATGGAGTATAGCAACAACAACCCCTATGGCATCGAAGGTATTCCTGAAGAGAATCGGACGATGGGCCTTGATATGTTCGAACGGCCAGGCGGATGCAAAGAGCAAACCCTACAGTGCAGACAACTGGCCAGAGAGCTCGACAGTGACAACACGGGCGACAATGAGAGGGTAAACGAAATATGTGCCCGCGCAAACGAATTATGTGATTCTATCAAGGGACTCTTTTCGTTGTCTGGAAGGTTTGTGCTACGTAGAAGATCTTGTACCGTATTATTCACTCACAAGATACCTATAGGAGTTATTACGATATCGCTCACGACACGGCAGATCCTTTCCCAGGAGAATATCATCATGTACGATTGCTGTCTAATTTCTGGTTTGAAGGCAGAATCTGATGGCGTCGCAGGAATATCTGAACAACGTTACTGTACAAGAGGCCATTGGTGCTCGTGTGAATTACACGCAAAATAGCAACGCCGTGTTCCGCAATTTCAAAAACAGTCAGTCTCCTATCATTCTCTACCGCTAATATGTGGCTAATCGAAAGCACAGCTGGTGATTTCGTTCGTGGAGGGCAATTGGAATCAATCGCCTACCTGTTGGAGCAGGGTGTACGTGTAGCTCTAATCTACGGTAGGTTCTAGTTCTCCCACAGAACCTCTGGGTGATCTAACTGACTCCATCCCCAGGCGATCGAGATTACATCTGTAACTGGCTGGGAGGCGAGGCGGACAGCTTGGCCGTCAATTACACCAACTCAGACGATTTCCTGAGTGCAGGGTATCAGGATATCGAAGTCAATGGATCTTATATCGGTGGTCAAGTTCGGCAGCACGCCGGATTCTCGTTCTCGCGGATATAGTGAGTTCGGCCATAACATCTCTGGGAGTCCGCATGATTTCTAATCCCAAGCTCAGTCAAGCCGGACATCTCATTCCTGCCTACCAACCCGAGACGGCATACAGAATCTTTGAGCGCGTCATTAAGGGCCTTTCGATCGCCACCGGAGAGAAAATCACAGACGATTACTCGACGACCGGAACCGTAAACAGCACCAAGAGTCTGGTAGCTGCGCCACCCCCAGCACCAACCTGTTTCTACCGTGATATCGCAACTTGCGATGCCGACGGCTGGCTCCACATTGCAGATACTACAGGCGTGGTTTACAACGGCGTAGTATACAACAGCACCGATGACTATCCGATTCTGGAGCCGCTGCCTCCTTATCCTCCGACACCTACCGGTAACAGATCGTACATTTCGGAACGGAATGAGACACCAAAAGCTCTGCCTACTGGTGGTAACCTGCAGTCGATGGGACCCAGTGTCCGTGCTCCAAGTGCTGCGGCGCTTTTGGTAGCTATTGGGTTTTGTATCGGATTGCTTTGAGAGAGCTTTCTAGTATCCTAGGCTGTCTAAAGGATATGATGTGGGAATGAAGAGAGGGGCGTGTTTGTCGCTGTGTAATTTTATTACTAGAGGTCGGCGTCTTGTCGAGTTGTACGTTTCGTAAGTAATGGCCTGCATGCGAGGAGAGTAACGAGGGTGATAGGAACAAGAGGAATTATGAGAACAAGCACAGAGTAATAATCAATGGAATGAATTCTAATCATTACTCAAGTACCTTTGTAGGTACATCATATCGTATTCAACCGTGGCCGATCATGACAATAGTACAGCCTTGTTCCGTCTCCCTCGGAACCTACTCGATGTGGTGCTCGGCTCGTGGGAGCACCCCAATTGACCTTTCTTTGGGTTTCATCATTTGACATTCAACTATGACTGATCATGAGACCACGGGTTGACCTTTTATGGTACGAGTCGATCCCTGGCCCTTCGACGAGTGACAGCACAGTAACTTTTGATTCCCTTTATGACGCTCGCAAATACCCGTTGTATGAATGTACATTAACCAAGCTCCATCTCAACCCAACAAACCAGCCGCCAGAGCTTCCAAGTCCTCCAGTGTCTCGGGCTCATCCTCCGCCTCAATGACTCTCCTCTTCTCCTTCTTCCTCTTCTTACTCGGCCTCTCCGACTTCTCCTGTAGCTCAACACCCCCACCTTCTTCATCATCATCACTAGTAGCATTCCAATCCGGCAACTCCAGCTTTCCATATAGTTGGATGCCCTCCTCCTCCTCATTATGTTCCGCCGCCATCTCCTCGCCCATCGCCTCTCTCTCCAGGCGCTTCCGCTTCTCCTTCTTCTCCTTCTTCTTCCTCTTTGCCAGATCGCGATCCTCGACATCAGCGATCTTGACCTTCTTCCCCTCCGTCTGCAAAAAGCTCTTCCTCTGGTCCTCAGGCGCACCAGACGCAAGGAACTTCTCCTCATCCTGCAGCTCGTACACGGACCGCGCATTGCCCTCGTCGTCGAAGCGCAGTTTTACTCCCTTCGACTTGAGCGCCGCAATCTTCTTCTTCGACGTCACCAGCTTCTCGCGACGCTTGCTGTCGATGATTAGCTCCTTGCCGTCGGGGCCGAGGACTACCTTCTTTATTAGGTCGACCGCCCCGCCGGTAGAGTCCGCATCCGCATCCGCCTCCTCATCCTCCTTGTCGTCTTCCTCCTCTCCTTCGGAATCGGAGTAACCCGTCCGCTTCACCTGCAAGAAGTCCGCATCGTCATCCGAAGCGTCCGCATCGTGTACGAGGCTGCGGTAGTGCTCAGCGAGCACGTTCTGGTTCTGCCGCTCGACCATCTTGTCGTGTTTAGTGCGGACCTTCTTCTCGTCCTTCTTCTCGTCCTTCTTCTTAGCCAAGTCGGCGTCGCTGTCATCGTCGCTGTCTGCTGCTGCAGTGGCGGCGGCCTGCTCCTCCTCGAGTTTCCGGAGCGCACGGGGCAGGTTCTTGCGTTCCTTGATCCGTTCGGTATCGGCCGTTTTCATGCCCTTGATCCGCGGCTGCCCGGGGAGCCCAAGACTGCTGGCGAACTCTTCGAGCGGGTATTCCGCCAGCTGGAAGGTTTCGCGGTCCTTCTGGATCGAGATGCTGCGCACGTAGCTAACGAAGGCTTTCTGCCCGAGGTATTTCAGCTCCGGGTCTTTGAAGCACAGGCTTTGCATCTGCGGCTTTATCTCTTTCTTCTTGGACTGCTTGGCGTTGACCCGGACGATCGGCACTTTCTTCGCCTCCAGACGCTTGATTACGCCTGTCTCCTCGCTGGGACAGAGGAAGAGCAGTGCCCGCCCGGTTTTTTCGTAGCGCGCGGTACGACCCACGCGGTGGATGTAGGTATCGGCATCTTCTGGTGCGTCAATTTGGATCACCCAGTCGACGCCGGGGAAATCGAGGCCGCGGGCTACCACGTCCGTCGCGAAGAGACAGCTGTTCGGCGAGGCGAGGAATCTGGCCGTGATGTCTGTGCGTGCAGTTTGCTTTTGTTTTCCGTGGAGGTGCAGCAGCGGGATACCGATGTGTAGCTGTCGGAAGGTTTCGTAGACAAAGCGGACCTGCTTGCACGAGCTCATGAAGACAATGATCTTTGCGGTCAGGTGGTTCCGCAGGAAGGCGAAGAGTGTGTCCAGCTTTTCGTGCAGCGGAACAACCATGTAGAATTGCTCCAGCGTTACGGGCGTGGCCGATGCGGCGGCCTCGTGCACGGCAACGTACTCGGGCTCCTTCAGACTCAGCCGCGCAAGATCGGACACACTCTTCGTCTGCGTCGCCGAAAACAGCAGCGTTTGTCGTTCCTGGGGGAGATTGGTGATAATCGCATCCAGCGTCTTCCGGAACCCCATATCCAGAATCCTGTCGGCCTCGTCAAGCACCAGCATCTGCAAGTTCTCAAAGTTGAGCCCAACAGTCTGGTCCATATGCTGCAGCATACGGCCAGGTGTGCACACAACGATGTTCATGCGATGTAGCGCCTCCTGCTCGTCCTTCAGCTTCTTCCCTCCGATCACCAGGCCCGCCGAGAATGTGTGCTCCCGCCCGACTTTCCGCAGCACCTCAAAGATCTGAGTTGCCAGCTCGCGCGTGGGAGAGATAATCAGCGCACCGACGCCATCGAGGTGGTTCCATTGCTTGCGATACAAGTTCTCCAGCACGGGGATCAAAAAAGCCAACGTCTTCCCGGACCCGGTCTTCGCGGCGCCGAGCACATCTTTGCCCTTCAGCGCGAGCGGGATTGCCTTCCGCTGGATATCGGTGAGCGCCTTGAAGTGTGACTTATCGAGCGCGACGGCAGACTGGCGGGTCAATGGTAACTCGGCAAAGAGCGTGGCGGTCTTCGAGTCGAAGTTCTCGACCGCGGTGGAGAGTGCGGCGAGCTCGTTTTCGTCTCGTTTGCGCTTTAGGCTTTTGCTCAGGCGGCGGGATTCGGCGGTCGCGGGACCCTGCTGGCCTTTCTTTTCGGGGATGGGGACACGGATGGGCCGCGTGGGCGCACCGACGGCGACGGAGGCGACGGAGGCGACGGAGGCGGATGGCATCGTGGTGGATTTCTCGTGAAGACCGCCTTCGTTCGTCGCTGGTGGGATGGAAGACGAGTGCAGAAAATGTAGCTACCAACGCTAACCATTCCGGTAAGTACCGGAGCATGGAGTATCACTCAATAGGGTTGTCTATGCATACACCGCGAAGAGTGGAAACGAGGTCCACGTATGATGTAGTTCGGCATTGCAAAATAATGCCCTTCATGGTCCGTGCTAGAGGCTTAATTTCTTCGCTGTTGCGAGGACAACAGCTCTTTGTATGTTCGCACTGATGAGATGGGTTATTCTTACCGAATCCAGCTGTAGTCGCTCTACTACGCTGTGGCTCGGCGCCCCCATGCGTTGCTCGCGACGCTCGCTCCATGCGGCTGTAGCCTGCAGAGCCACAAATCGACGACGATACCTCCCACCGCGAATCTCCACCACAGCACCACCATCACTACGCTCTCCCGAATCCGAGGCCACCACTATCGAGACCAGCCCTCGATTCTTGCGGGAGCGGTGTGCAACCGCCGGATTGCAGCTACGCGTCTTCCCCTCCATCGTTTGAACTAGCACCCGCTTTCATCCCCCCTCGAATCGTTCGTCTCTTCAGGAGTGGATTGCTGCAACCATGGACTACGCGAGAACCCCCGCAACGCCTGCCGCCCCCGGCCAGCAAGCTGCTGTCACGAAAGCCCAGCAGTTTGAGGACGAGAAGCGAAGAATCGTACAGTCCTGCTTCAGCAGACAGGACGCCGATGGCTCCAGTACGTAACCTCATAATGCCTGCCTGCTGCTGGGAGCTACCTCCCTGAGCTGTCCTGTCCCTGTCCCACATACATATTCAAAAATAAAACGAAAAGCCCCCCCACCCACTCGCACAAATTTCTGTAGCTTCCTGTCGCTGACCCGAATGCTGCGAGTATGAAGCCCTCGAGGATTACATCACCCATTGCCGAGTCCTCGAAGATGGCTCGTCGTCTGAGCCGCCGCCGCCCGGCGCGCCGATGGGAAACGGCAAGGCCCGAGTCATCATGGTCGCCGTCCGTAAGTCCGGCCGGGTGCGAATGCATAAGGGCCGCGAAAACCCCAATGGCTCGTTCTCGATCGGAAAGACGTGGAATCTCGATGACCTCCAGTGCATCACGACGTATCCTGCGCCCAATGAGAAGGGGTTCACGGTCACGATCCTGAAGGCGTATTACTGGCAGGCGAACACGGCTAAGGAGAAGGACTTTTTCATCTACTCACTGGTCAAGATCTACAAGAAATACACGGGTGGAAAGGTGCCAGAGCTACTTGGCCCCAGGAAGGCAGAGCTGGATGCGTTGATGGGCCCCGGTGGTGCGGAATTGCTGCCGCAGGAGGAAATGAGGAGCCCCGTTGCCTCGACTGGAGGTTCGCTGTTGGCATCAGCGCCGTCGTCGCTGCCGCCGTCGTTACAAGCCACCCCGCGAAATGCCCCGTCGATGGAATCCCTGAATAAACCGTCGCGCATACAGCCATATGCTGGACAAAGAGTACCGGGCGAGAAACCGCCGCCCTCTCCGAGTACAATGCGGCCGCCGGGATCCTCGAGTGGACTCTCTGGTCGTAGGACTCCCGTGGATACTGCACCTTCAAGACATACCCCTCCTCCAGTGCCACAAGTGGTGCCGCAAGCTTTGAATGGAAGGCGGCCATCAGATGGGTCTTCAACGAGGTCTGGACAGAGTAGGACTCCTTCAAGCTCACGGGGTCCACCGCCGTCCGAGGACGATCGATCGATGAGGCGGGCTCCCTCGCAGGAGAGGTACAGGACGGCATCCATCAACAGCCAACAGTCGCAAGAATCACGACGAGAAGCAATGGAACAGTATCCTCCCTACCAGAATAACAAAATGCCGGGTCCCTCACCGACACCCCCACCCCAAGAGAGCCATTCAATGCCAAAACCGAAGGCCAATAAAGACGCCGCGTCCCACTTCCGACTGGCTGCCAATGCCTATGGCTTGAGCAGCCAGCTTGGAACACCTAAGGCCCGCCCAAAAACACCTACCACGCCTACTACTTACACGAGCCAACTCACGAAAGAGCCGTTAAGCATGTCACCAGAAGCACCCCCAGTCATGCCACAGATCAAGTACCCACAGGAACGCAACCCTTCAGGGGACCAGTCGAACGGAAGTAGGAGCAGAAGTAGGAGTGGTTCTAGGCGGCCATCGGGAGATGAACCACAGCAGCGTTCTCGGTCTCGGCCATCAAGGGAACAACAACCATCCCCGGCGCCCGCAGAAATACCACCATTAGTTCCAAGAGAGCCCTCTTCTAAGAATGACATACGGGGTAGGCCACCTCCCTCGAGGGAAAACAGTCAGTCTTCGCTGTCGCAACAAGCTTCCTTGGCTTCCGCACTCAGGGGCGTCCCCGTCATCACGGAACCCGCCTTGATGATCAGAAAGCCAACATTTCCTCTGGCCACACCGACTATATCGCCGCCTGCAGGCGAACAAACAATAGAAGTGCCCGCGGAGAAACCATCAGTACCGGACTCGGGCTCACTGATGGCGCCCAAGGGACCGATTCGGGCGCGCTCACGAAGCCGGAAGCGCCGGTCTGATAAGTCGTCATACCTCCACGGCATCGACAAGAGCGGGATGAGCGTAGACATTGAGGAGCTCCTGCAGGAATTCAACTGGGATGCGAAGGGGAAGATCGATCAGCTGAAGGCGGACGTAAGGAAGGAGCTGTCGCGAGTGGAGTCGAACAATGTCATCATCAACGTTGATGGCGATGATAGGGTCGACCAGTTGTCGGTTCTGCTTGATCAGGCGATTAAGGAGTGTGAAGAGATGGATGGGCTGCTGACGCTCTATGCCGTTGAGCTGACGGTACGCCGTCCCCTTTTCCCAGGTGTATCTTGTGGCTGGATGCTAATATGGCCGAGCAGAGTCTCAATGATGACATCACGCATATCGAGAACCAATCTCAGGGTCTTCAACTGCAGACTGCAAATCAGAAGACGTTGCAGAAGGAACTACAAACGCTACTAGACACCATCTCGATATCGCCCGCACAGATGGAAATCCTGCGGAAGGGATCGATGGATGCCCCGAGAGGCTTGGAACAGATCGAGCAGACATTGGTATCCCTTTACAAAGCCATGCGGACGATAGAACCCACTAGTACGCACGACCCATCCTCACCTCGCATTGGCCGACGGGGCTCCTTCAGCGACGAAGGTGTGGGCAGCATGCGGGCCTTGCAGGAAAGGAAGGAAGAGTACCGCAACAGCTGCCGCGCATTCCTTGCACGCCTACGACAGTTCCTCAATAACAAATTCCAATCGGAGCTCACGGATATCAAGAGGGATGCCCAGATCGGTCAGGTAAACTCGGGGCTGCACCCCAGGATGATCGGGCACGACAAGGCGTACCAGGCCATGTGGAAATTCGCAGGGCTGATTACGTTCGCGCGAGACGTCGACGGCGACGAATATGTTGAGTTGCGGAAGCTGTACGGAAAGATGGCGAAGTCGTTGATGATGGAGGAAATCCGAGAGCAAATCGGTGCTTGGAAGAAGATCTCCAAGAAACCGACCCAGGAGGAGCAAGACCTCATCTTCAACGCACCGGAGAAGGAAGAGAGTGTGACTGCCAGTTTGGGAGCTAGGAAGCTCACGGTCAAGAAATCGATTGCTCGCATTCGAACTGGTGGAGGAAGTTTCAGTAGCAATGAGAGGCCTTCACCCGGTATCATCGCCTCCAATGCGGCGTTTGCAGGGGCATTTGGAGAGATATATCAGCTCGTGTTCAAGGAGCAGAATTTTGTGGTCGAATTCTTCCACTTGTCTTCTCGGAACTCCTCGGACTTCGTCGAGTTCGTGACCAGAGGCCCGCCCGAGACACGCCGGCTCAACGACCTGGGAGGACTCCGCACTGTCGAGCCGGATAAGCTCAAGGCAAAGGTCATCTACGAGTACATGGGCGAGCTCTTTTCGTTCCTACTACAGGACCTCCAGAATATGGTCGATTGGGCCACACTGGGAGATGCCACCCAGGGAGTCGGCATCATGTATGCCGTCGAGCAAAAGATTGCGACCGTTGACGAAACCGACCAGGAGTTTCTTGCGAAGATGCTTCAGACACTCCATGATCGTCTTGCGGGACTGTTTGCACGATTCTTGGACGAGCAGGTTAAGGCTATTGAGGATACGAAGGTCAAGATCAAGAAGAGGAAGGGTGTCATCCAATTTATGCGTGTATTCCCGGTAAGCAGCTTTCCCTCCTTCTCCATTACAATATTCGCCTACTAATGCTGACTGGCTATGGAATAGGGCTTTGCGGCTAGAATCGAGGAGCAGATCCCGTACAATAAGACAATTGTCGAGTCCGACGATCTCAGTATCCGCGAAATGGTCAATGAGGGGTACATCAAGATCAACAAAGCTATGTTCGAATCGCTGCAAGCGATTGCCAAAGAGTCTCCAGCAGTGGCGAGTCAGAACGTCGACCCCGAGGACAAGGAGCAGCTCAACTACCACATCATGATGATCGAGAACATGCATCACTACCTTGAGGAAGTTGATACTAAGGGCAACGAGGTCCTTGAGGGCTTCCGTAAGAAAGCCGATGAGGAGTATCGTGAGCACATGGGCTTGTACATTGGCGCCGTTATTCGCCGGCCACTGGCAAAGCTTTTGGTATTACCATCCGCGTCCGGTTAATCCGTGCCCCGCTAATTGCTCTCGTGTAGGACTTTGTCGAGAATGTCGAAGCGCTCATAGCATCCGGTACGTCAGCGGAAGACATCGCGGGTAGAAGTGCGCACAACAAGGCCGCCTTCAAGAAAGTCCTCGAGCACCATGCCGAGAGCAAGGATATCCGCAAGGGTATCGAGCAGCTCAAGAAGCGTGTTGACAAGCACTTTGGCGATGGCGACGAGTCAGCACTGAGCCAGAAGCTCGTCGACAAGATCCTACTCAGGCTCGAGGACGAGTTCATCAATGTCCACAAGCGCATCATGCTGTTGCTTGTAGGACCGTACAAGGAGTCTGGATTGGAATGTGAGTTTAAAGTTAATGATGTGAAGGTTGCGTTTAAGAAGTAGTTAGAGGGGAGAAGGATAGGTGTCAACTGTACAAGTTCACGTTCGCTCGAGGTGTTTTTGTCGATGTTAGGTTCTTTTCTTTCTTTCTTTCTTGCAAGCGTGGGATTTGGCTGCATGTTATTTTTTGGTTTTGGGTTCGGTGCTGTGCTGGATGAATATGCGGGGGTTGTAGGTATGAAATGAATGGTGCATACAGTTTCGAGGTTCCATATCTGTTGCCTGTGGCAACAATTGTGATGACTCTCTTCGCGTGATCACATGGGCTCACTCGTCTTGGCCCGTGCATCCATTGTGTCACCGCCACTATGATATTTAGAGCGACGCGGCCCTTGACCTCCATCAACCCCACACCTGTCGCTGGCTCCCACTGCACCTTCACATATACAACCGCACCGATGAACCGCCTCTTTGGATCCAAGAACACGGCGCCGAAGCCGACGCTCACGGGAGCGATCAGCAACGTGAGCTCGCGCAACTTCCGCCACCTGGCAGTTACTATACTAACACCTGACTTACAGCTCGACACGCGCATCGAATCGGTCGACGTGCAACTCGCGAAAGTCAATGCGGAGCTCATGACGTTCCAGCAGCGAATCAGCAAGATGCGCGACGGGCCGGGCAAGCAAGCGATGCGGCAGAAAGCGATGAAGGTCCTCCAGCGGCGGAAAATGTACGAGACGCAGAAGGACCAGCTGGAGCAGCAGAGCTGGAACATGCAGCAGGCGGGAATGATGCAGGATAATCTCAAGAGTCGGTCTACTGTTGCTACTGCTACTTTTTCGGCGGTGCTGGAGATTGCGGTGGTGGCGCCGCTGTTGCTGCCGTGGAAGAGTCTGGGCTGGGAGGTCGTGGGCGCAGCTTTAGTGTGGGTTGTGCTGATGTGGTGGCGGTCCGGGAGGGCAGACGTTATGGTCACTGTCGATGCGATGAAGACGACGAATAAGGAGTTGAAGAAGCAGTATGGCAAGGTCAATATCGACAAGAGTAAGCTCATGCCACCTCCCCTGCTGGATATCTGTTACGCACGACTAACCGACTTGCAGTTGAACAGATGCAGGATGAAATGGCCGACTTGATGGATATCGGAAACGATATTCAAGAGTCGATATCGAGATCCTACGACATTCCTGACGGTGAGTCGACCACCTGCGTACATACGTAATACCCAGATCGACAGAGCTAAACGGATAATATCACAGAGGTCGACGAGGCGGAGCTCGATGCTGAACTCGAGGCTCTCGGCGAAGAGGTTGAACTCGGCGGTGGATGGGAAGCCGAGAGCTCTACCTCGCTCCCAGGCTTCCTAGAAGACGCTGACGCGGTCCCAAGCTTCCTCGATGAGCCTCCCTCCAAGATCAAGGAGGCCGTCTAGCTTGCTTCCTAATACACATATGACTGGTTTCCATGGGTGTTATCGTATCAGCGTTTGTTTGTCTTTAGGGAGTTCATTCTTTAGGTGTCATTGTATTCTATACTCTATAACGTGAAAGCACGACTGTGCTCTACACACTCTATCATGCGTCTTTGATTCTCACCAGCACCTCGAGATCGAGCCCTTGCAAGCACATCCAGACAAACGGCGATCCGATTGGTAGCGGATGTGACCTGCAGAGTAAGTCCAACTGCAGGTAACTATGGCCCGCCAACGAGCACCTCGAGAAAGGCCATGCTTCGTGTGGGGTTCACGAGCGACGACGGCCATGTGGCTGTTGTGGCCTGTATACGATGCTTGCCATTTTACTGGCGAAGCCCGGCCAGCCATGCCAGGGTTGTATTGACTGTACCGCGGCTAACATCGAGGGCCTTATCTACTTACCTTGTATGTGAGGAATGGCCGCCTGGAAAATGAGTGAGCGAGCACGCGACAAACAGGTACGGAACCGATACCCATCGCAAAAGGGTAATATTTTGGCTTCGAATGGTCCCAGTATCTAGCCGTTTGTATATGAAGCTTCTGAAGAACTGGATCCCGCGAAAATTACCTTCACAAATGCCGTAGTGGTACAACTACCGGTTCTGGCGATACGGCACTGATGCCGTCGGTGCGCAGCTGCGGCGAAGAACCCTCTCCTTGCCCGGCAGCACCGTCTTCTCTCCGCCCCGCCTTTTCTCATTGTCAGCACCATCATCGTCATCCTGTTCCCGAAGCTTGGGTAGATAGAGAAAGTCATCATCTTCCTGCCTGTCCTAGTCGCACACATCTTTCTTATTTACCGCCGTTGCTCTGTTGGAGCTCTGTTGTTTCGTACTCTATGTAAGGCAGGCTGGTCTGGTATTCGTCCATACAAATCCCAAATCCCGCCCGCCTTGAAAGATCCACCGTCCCAGCCAAAGAACCAACCAAAACCAACAACCGGCGGCGAGCTCCATCCCACCACACACACTGCTACACTTCACACGCAACGCACACAGCTTCCAACGATTCACGACGACCACCACCACGACGAAGACGACGAAGACTACTCAAGCGGAAGAATCACAACTTTCAAACTTCCAAATCCATACCTGTGAGTTCGGCCATCGTCATCGGCTATTTTGATCTCCTAAACGAGAGAGAGCCGTTCTTGCTTGTCTGCTTGCTTCTCTTGCCCGGCCCCTCCTCCTCCGCGACTGCACGCACTGCCCCACCAATCGTCACTGGCTTTCACTTGCGAAGGCGATAACTATCAGTGTATATATCTGTTTGCGGCTGTGCTTCTGCGCCTTCGGCAGGTTCACGAGAAGCTGCTTGCCTTGTTCTTTTCGTCTTTGTTGCTGGGCTCTTTCGATGATGATTGCTAACAGCTGCGAGTCCCCGGTGTCACAGTAAACTTCATCCCACACCCGCAATTTCGTCACCAGGGTTGCTTAGCTAGCCCAACGAACCCATCTGACCACCAACCTCCACCACCCCGCCACAGACATCCCGCCCCACCCCTCTCCTACCACCCTGTACTTTCGACGACCAAAGAAGCCGCCAGCCATGTTCTGGCGATTCGGCGGATACGCGAACACCTCGACGCTGGACACGATCTTGGAGAAGCCAGATGTGACGCTCGAGGAATTGCTGGACGAATCGGATCTCATCCAAGAATTGAAGCAGCACAACACGAAGCTTATAGAGTTCCTGCGGGACGAGAAGATACTGCGGCGGCTGCTGGAATACGTGATCGCGCCCAAGCCTGCGCCGCGACAGAAGCCGACACCGAAGCAGGATGGTGGGGATTCGGATGACGAGGATTCGGACGAGAGCGACCGTATCGCTCTTGAGGCTGAACGGGAGAAGACAAGGCTGAAATATGCTTATGTTTCCTGCGAGGTCCTGTCGAGTGAGGCCTGGTCGCTCCTGGAGGCGCTGATGCAAAACATCGACCACCTCCGAATGTTTTGGACGTTCCTGGAACGCCCGCCGCCATTAGACCCCTTGCAGGCTAGTTATTTTACAAAGGTCAACGAGACTTTATTGGACAAGAAGACCGAGGAGATGATGTCATTTGTTAGAAGCCTCGACGGAATAGTACCCCGTATCTTGAAGCATGTCGATTGCCCGATGATCATGGATCTGCTGCTCAAAATTATCAGCATGGAGAAGTGTGAGGGTGGAGCGGGTATAGTTGATGTTTGTCCACACCGTGACCCCCGACATTGGAAGCCACAGAGCTGATTCAGATTCTTCTCACAGTGGCTACACTCGCAAAACCTCATCCCTCTATTACTCTCATTCCTCTCCAGCGAACACAGCCAGTCGACACAGACCGCTAGCGGTGACTTCATCAAGGCGCTCATCACAATATCCGCCAACGCCTCGCAGAACGAACAGTCCTGCATCGGCCCGAACGATCTCACCCGACAATTGGTATCGCAAGAGTGCATCTCGGGGCTCATTTCCGACATGCTCAAGGGCGGAAACCCCCTGACGGTTGGTGTCGGAATAATCATTGAGGTCATCCGGAAGAATAACTCCGACTACGATCCCGATATCGGCACCGGGGTGGACAGCGTCCCTTCGTCGAGAGATCCAATATATCTCGGCACTCTACTCCGACTGTTTGCGAGCCATGTTCCGGATTTCATGAAACTCATTATGTCGTACGGACACACGGTGAACGCGGACGGCAGTAAGAACGAGAGCAAGCGGGAACTCAAAGTGGCCTTCGGCGGTGCGATCGAGCCCCTTGGCTTCGACAGGTTCAAGACGTGCGAGCTCATGGCGGAACTCTTGCATTGCAGTAACATGGGCTTGTTGAATGAGAAAGGAGGTGAACGATATGTCAGGGAGAGGGACCGCGAGAGGGAGAGACTGAAGGCGGCGCGGCTCCAACACATGCTTGCGACGGACGAGCTGGTGGATCATCATGCCGGTGTCGAAGGCGTGGTTGTGGAAAAAGCGCCTCTTCAGGTTCAAAACGGTGGCGTTGAGATGTCGGACGACGGTATCAACGAAGAGGAATTCGAGGATGTAATAATCTCTGGGATGCTGGACGATGTTCGCGCCGACGCCGACATGGAATGCGAAGATCTGGCGAACATCCATGACATCCACGATGAAGGCCGGAGGGACGATGACGAGGATCTGTTTGTCGATGAGCCTCTGTCTCCACCGTCGAAACCGAAGGATACTATTGAGGACACTACCGAAGCCGTTATGGTCCCGATACCGACCGATGATATCCCTCCACTGGACAAGACTCCAAGCGAGCCCCAGGCGCCCCAGAAAGATGCGGATGCGCCGACCACAGCACCTCAGGAGACAAAATCGCAAGTCGATGTACACATGAGTGATGCGCCTCCCGCCTACCAGGAGAAGGAAGATCCAGTACCTGCGCAGCAGAGCAGTGAAGCGGCGCCTAAGGATACGGAAGTTCCTAAGGCACCCTCGCCTCCGGTTGCGGCAGAAGACGACGAATCCCTCCGGCAGAGCGGGAGGTCACTGGTAGAAGATCTAAAATCAGCAGAGTCATTACCGCTCAGTCCACAAACTCCAGCGCCTGTGACGGCACAGACTTCGGAGGCGCAACAACCACCCCCATCGACCGAGAATAAGGATGAGACGCCGCAACTCGAAGAGGAGGAAAATCTCATGGATCTGAACAGCACTCCTGATACGACCATAGCTGAGGGTGATGTCAGTGTCCGATCGACAGGGTCGCTCGGCTCAAGCTTCACCGAATATCAGGCAATGGTCGAACCGGATCTGGACGGGAATCCAGTGGTCGGTGACTATTTGAAGATGATGTTTGTAGAGCACAAGGTCGTTCCGACGATTCTGGTAGGGATTGCTTCCATTGGGGTCTAATGGGTATGGGATGCTGACTCGTTTCGCCAGGAATTCTTCTTCCGCTTCCCGTGGAACAACTTCCTCCACAACGTTGTTTACGATGTTGTCCAGCAAGTCTTCAACGGCCCGATGGACAGGGGATATAACCGTGCTTTGGCGATCGATTTGTTCGTCACAGGACGGATTACCGAACGCATAGTCGAAGGACAGAAGTATTCCGATAAGTTTGAGACAGGGAGGAGGATGCGACTCGGATACATGGGACACCTGACCTTGGTTGCGGAAGAGGTAGTCAAGTTCGCCGAACGACATCCTCCGGAGGTTCTCGGTTCGAAGGTGTTGGAGAAAGTGTCGGATCCGATTTGGATCGAGTATGTGGAGGAGACGCTTGCGGCAACCCGGGAACGGGATAATGCTATCCTTGGAGGAGTACGGCCGGACATGCACATTCCCCGGATCACCGGGATGGGTTCAGTGCAGTCTCAAACATTCACCAGCAATGCTTCGACTGTCGGCACATTGACTCTCGGAACTGGACTTGATAGCATCGACCTCGCCAACGGAAACACTGCGGGGACTGGTGGTAATGGAAGGGAGGGCGGCATCTTGAGCAGCGGCTTCGGATCTTCAAGCGACGAAGAAGACGACGATATGGAGCATGATGACGACGAAGAGGATGTTACACGGATGGGACTGGGCAGCAGTAGTGATCAAGTGGGTGACCTCAATGACCTTTTGTTTGATGACATCGAGGATATGTTTGAAGACGACCTTGCTTGTTTATGATGACCATGCGCTCTCTCATGAGGCTGGTTATTTTGTTTATATGTCTTTTTTATGTGTACATGTCTAGGGACCTTGTGTGTAAAAGTATCCGGTGGTGGTGTTGAGGATTCCCCCGAGTTGGTCTCTGTTTCTGTTGTGCTGGCGTTCTGGGGGGGCGGTCTCCTGGTGATTAGACTTCAATGTTTTCTTCAAGTACAGGGACCTACACCCGGGAACGTCATCATATCAAAGTACTCCCTGTTGTCATTTACTTATCCTCCTTTCCCCGAAAGAAGAAAAAGGACAGATTTCTCATTATATCCTCGGTGCTGCCCAGCGTTTTACTTGAAGATCCGAAGCTGACCAGCACGATCCCCAAAGTTTTCCAGTTACATCTCCCAAGAAATCAGCAACGTCGACAAGTTTGGCTCCTCGGACGAAGAGGATGAAGACGATGAAGTGTCGTTCACCAGTGCGCCTTCAGAGCCACCTCCACCGCCGCCTTTGCCCCTAAACATCAAGCGTGCCCAGCACCGGACTCAGATCGAGGATGCCGAGAAGGAGGCTGAAGGAATCGAGAATATGGGGGATTTCGATGTAAGACCTTTTTCATTTCCAGTATCAGTATAGTGTTATTAATTGCAGTAGAGCTCCGACGAGGAAGAAGATGTGCTCGAAGGTTCGCTGTTCCGGAGAAGGATCAACTCGACGCATGAGGCCAAGATACGGGAGCTTCTCGAGGACGAGGAAGATGAGTTTCTCAGCGAGGGGATCCGCGCTCTTGATATCAGGAGTCCGATCACCACATATGAGAGCCGTGAGGTGGCGCCGGGTGAGTTCTACGGTCATACCAAGAAGGACGAGACAGCTGCAACTGCTTCCTCCGAGGAGAAGGAACAGCCTTCTCCCGAGAAGGTGGCATCCGAGGATACAAAAAAGGACGAGGCGAAGGGGAAGGGTCTGTCTGAGAAGGCATGAACCATACACACATGGGGAAATTCTTGTATAGATGAAGTGATGACAATCGGGGGTGGGGGGGAGGGGCATTTGGGTTTTCTGTTTTGTTCTGGGGGTTTTTTATTCCTATCTTTTACTCATTTCCTTACCTCTTTGAAACGATGTTACGCATGAATCTTTTTTCTCCAGTCTCTTTTGTTTTTATTCTCAACTACTAGACGGCGGGTGCTTGTGGTTGCCATCGTGGATTCCGGCCGGGTTGATGGGCCCGATGGGGCACTGCTATTGTGTGCTGTTTAGCTTTATGGACCGTATCATATGGTATAGCATGGCTTTTGGGTTGGTTGTCTTCCTGCCATGGATGACGTTTCCATCGTCTTCATTCCACCTTCTTCATCGCTGTGAAGCTTTGAAGCTTGACTCGGGATCACGGGATTATCCGGATGGAGTAATTCAGGACTCAACCGACCATTAATCATCGTCCATCTAGCCCTCGCGCTCAGCCATCATGTGCTTTTTGATTATTTCAATTCTCTCGCTTTCCCGCGGGAAGCTCGCGGTTTGCGGTTCTCGGTGCAGAATGATTAATGAGTGAGTCGAGTTCACAGTGGTGGCGACCCTTGTTGCCATGAACCAATCAAACTCTTGGATTATGCTATCCCACTTAGCCCCGGCATCATCGATTCTCTCCTCCTCCCGCACCACTCTCTCGCACCACTCTCTCGCAACCCTCGCACCCCACGTCCCATTTAATCCCCACCTCTCCACTCAGCGCCGAGTCGAGAGAGAGAGAGAGAGTTTCACACCCCACTGATTGAACCTACGCAAAATGTTCGCCGTGCGAAATACTACCGCTCGCCGGGCCTGTGCTACCGCCGTGGCCGTGGCCAATCGACTTCCTGTTGCGCGAAGTGCCGCCGCAGCTGCTGTCCGGGGTCTGGCCACCGTCAACAATGCAGCTGCTACCCCGCCTAAGAAGACCAAGTTCGGAGGCCTCAGCGACCAGGACCGCATTTTCCAGAACCTGTACGGACAGCATGGAGCGGACCTCAAAACCGCGATGAAGTTTGGCGACTGGTACAAGACGAAGGAAATCTTGTTGAAGGGCCATGATTGGATCATTTCCGAGATCAAGACCTCGGGATTGAGAGGTCGCGGTGGCGCTGGTTTCCCGTCGGGAATGAAGTGGGTATGTATCCATAGCTGTGCTTGTTTGCTACAAGGTGAAGGCTGTAGCAGTGAACTGATGCAATGTGATTGCGCATTTCTAGTCGTTCATGAACCCTCCTGGATGGGACAAGGGCACCACCCCCCGCTACCTGGTCGTCAACGCCGATGAGGGAGAGCCAGGAACCTGCAAGGACCGTGAGATCATGCGAAAGGACCCACACAAGCTCGTCGAGGGATGTCTCGTTGCCGGTCGCGCCATGAACGCCACCGCCGCTTACATCTACATCCGCGGTGAGTTCTATCACGAGGCTACGATCCTTCAGCGCGCCATCCAGGAGGCGTATGCTGCTGGCTTTATCGGAAAGAATGCTTGCGGTTCCGGATACGATTTCGATGTCTTTGTTCACCGTGGAATGGGAGCGTACGTGTGTGGAGAGGAGACTTCATTGATTGAGAGTTTGGAGGGAAAGCCGGGAAAGCCTAGACTGAAGCCGCCATTCCCTGCTGCTGTCGGTCTGTTCGGATGCCCGAGTACTGTGGCGAACGTTGAGACGATCGCTGTTGCGCCGACTATCTGCCGACGAGGTGGTTCTTGGTTCGACTCGTTCGGCCGTGACCGGAACTCCGGAACGAAGCTCTTCTGTATCTCGGGACACGTCAACAACCCCTGCACCGTCGAGGAGGAGATGTCGATTCCTCTTCGGGAGCTAATCGAGAAGCATTGTGGTGGTGTTAAGGGTGGTTGGGACAACCTTCTGGCCGTAATCCCTGGTGGATCGTCTACCCCCATTCTTCCTAGGAAGATTTGCGACGACGTGCTCATGGACTTTGATGCGCTGAAGGACGTGCAGTCCGGTCTTGGAACTGCCGCTGTCATCGTCATGGACAAGAGCACCGATGTTATCCGCGCCATCTCGCGGCTGTCCAAGTTCTACAAGCACGAGTCTTGCGGGTAGGTGTTCTATCTCCAATACACATAATCTGCCACTGACGAAGGCACAGTCAATGCACACCCTGCCGTGAGGGATCCGCATGGACCTACCAGATCATGAACAGATTCGCCAAGGGCCAGGGACGGACACGGGAGATCGATATGCTTCAGGAGCTCACCAAGCAGGTTGAGGGTCACACTATCTGCGCTTTGGGAGAGGCTTTCGCATGGCCTATCCAGGGTCTTATCAGACACTTCCGGCCAGAGCTGGAGGCCCGGATGGCGGATTACGCCAAAGAGCATGGTGGTGAGGCGCTGGCTGGTGGACAGTAAGTTGCTTCCCGTTTCCACTGTGGAAGGTAATTTGCTGACTTGAGAAAGCGAGCACAACGCTCGGGAACTGGGCAAGTTGATCTCACCTGGACAGTAGGTGATGAGCATGAGCAAAGGGGGATGAGTGTGTGGAATTGGCATTGTAGAATACGGGATGTTTTCCTGCAGCGGTCGAGGTTGAGGGGGGGTGTGGTGTGCATTGTTCTGCCCTTTATATAGTCCGGTACATTTCTATTGACCGATATAATTGGAGGCTGCTATCGCGATCATGAGTGACGTATTATGCATGCTTGATCCGGGTAAAATATCGCCTGCCGTTTTAGGAAAGTTAGATGCAGCTACCAGGCACGTTTCGTGAATCGTGATCTGTGTCTCGAACCTGCTTCACCTCGAGCTCCACAACAATTTCTCGCCACGACACACACGACAATACATTGAGATATCCGCGTCTCCTGTCGCCAATCACATATACCTAACCAATCTCCCGAATTGCGCTTTCCCTCTTCCCCCCCGAACACTACGACTTTCACGTGGCTAAGCTACCCGCCTCCTTACGCATCCGCCGCCTACGACCGCCCACCTCCCCCGCTGCCCACCGCATGTCCGCACACCTTGATGCATGATCCCTCCTAATGTCACCGCATCCGGCAACAGCCACGGTATGGCGGTGAACGGCCACGGCATCCAGCGGTCCGCCTCATCGTCGTCCTCCGACGGCAACAACAACAATACTAACAACAATAATAATAACGACGACACCGCTCCCCCCATCACCATCACCTCGACAGCGGCGAAGAAGCGCCACCGCGGCCGCTCGCTCCGCAGCAACGTCCTCCTGCGTCCGCGGCGACTATCGATCCCGCTGCCGCCGCCGCTCCCGCCACCGTCGCAGCCGCAACCACAGCCGGACGACTCCGAGTCCGAAGAGGAGTTCTCCAGCGACTACTCCTCGTCCGACGGGGAGGAGGACGGTGATGGTGGTGGTGGTGGAGCGGAAAGCGCCGTCGCCGCCGAGGAAGTGGAAGTGGAAGTGGAGGTGGAAGCGGCGCTCGTCGAGTACCGCATGCTGCGCCCCGTGCCCGAGGCGGGCGATCCGGGCGACACGCTGTTCTGGGGGTGGGTGGTGCTGCTGTCGACGTGGGTGGTGTTCGTGGTCGGCATTGGGAGCGTGCTTGGCGTGTGGGAGTGGGCGTGGACTGGCGGTGCGGCCGGCGGAGCAGCAGCGAAGAAGTGGCCGAAGAGTATTGGGGGCGAAAAGAAGTTCCCCGGCGAGTTCCCGATCCCAGGGTATTATCCTGCCATGGGCATCCTGAGCTGTGTCATGGCTTGGGTCTGGGTTGTCGTGGCGTGGGTCGGGCTCAAGTACTTCAAACATGCAAAGATACAGAGTTGAGTGTGGGTGTACTATTTTTTGTACGGGTGTTTTTGGCTGTGCGTGTATGGTTTTTTTTTCTCTGGGGATTCCGCGCGTGTGTATTTGGTATTGTTGGTGTTTGTGTTTACTCTACTTGAGGGGGGCTTCGTTTCTTCCCTTTATCCAGCGGAAGTTGTATATATAATGTCCCCCTTCCTCTGGTATTGTCTGTAGCAACTTTTCTGGGTGTAGGTATTGTTCTGTTTGATTGGTAGAAGGCCTGGACCATGGGAGTTGATTCTCCATTGTTATCGTACATTCCCCTCTCTGGCAAAAAGTTCAAAAGTTCAAATCTATCCACCACCCGTCCACTCCCATCCACCACTAACTTCGACCCACCCCTCGCGCTCTTTAAACCACTCCGCAAGCACATCTTTTGTAGCCTCCTTCCCTATGCCAGGCCACAACTTGCCGGCCTTCCTCAACACCTTGCCGACTAGCAATTTTTTAACAGTCTTTCGTTTCTGTGCAGCACGGACTTCGGTATCAATTATGTCCCGTAGGAGCGGGTAGCCGACTACGTACCAGCCGTCGCTGGAGGGGATGATGTAACCGTCTGAGGAGAGGGCTTCCAGTGCAGGGGATAGGTCGCTTGGTGTGGCGTGAAGAGATTTGGTCAGTGAGGCGAGGGTAGTGGTGATGGCAGAGGTTGAGCGGAGGTGGGAGAGGATGAGGTATTTTAGTGGACGGGGTGAGTCTGGTGGTTGGGTGGATGGTTGGGTGGATTGTGAGGATGTTTCTATTTCTTGACAGCGGGATCTCCGTGAGGTCTGTGATGGGGTGGGTGTTGAGGCGGGCTGGTGGGCCGATATGATGGTGGATAGATCATCGCAGGGAGGCTCAGGGGTGGGTTGGTAGGTTGAAATGATTGCAGATAGATCATCGTAGGGATACGATGATTGAGCGGCGATCGATGATGGTGGCAGGCTGGACTCAGTCGCCATTGACCGCCGCTCACGCTTGGATGAAGCTCCTGGTTGAGACATTCTTACTTCGAGACTTCGAGATACTGATTGCTGCGACCCTGATATCCCCACCGGTGAGACCTTTCTGCGGGGGCCACCCGGATATACTGGAGGATCCTGCGTTAGTGCAGGTAACATTGCAGGTAGCCGTGGTGCAGCTGCTGGTGGATCATCAACCGGTCTCGAGAATCGTAATGTCTGCGGATCGTGTTGTACTGCCAACCTTGGTTTGGTCTGCGGTGCTTCCACTTTGTCTGACTGGACGGTTCGTTCACTCCGGTTTCCACTAGTTGTACCGGATATCTTCCATACATCCTTCAATGTAGATCTAGCATCACTTCTTGTTCTTTGGGTGTCAAACTCCAGATCCTCATAAAGATCTCGTTTCATCCTCTTGTTGATGTGCGGAAACTCCGGTGAAGGTGACCGTGGCCGCTTTGGTAATGGCGACGGCGCGCGATCCACAGGCTTCTCACGTTCTAAGAGCGTGCTGCTCTTGTTTTTCCGCGTGGTACCCAAAACTCCCACAACAGCAGGCCTTCTGCTGGTGTCTCGGTCGAAGTCTAGATCCGAATAATCATCGTGTATCACTCGAGCGCTGCGTTTGGTTGGTGCGGGTGGTTTTGTGCCGAAATCGAGGTCGGCATATAAATCCACTTTACCGGTGTACACTTCCGGCGACCTCCTGTTGTCCGGCGCTCTTTTCTTCTTTGCCGGTGGTTGTGTTTCCTCCAGTAGTGTGTCCTCCAGTAGTGTCTCCTCCAGCAGTGTTGGCGCGGGCACCCCCTCCTTCCTCCTCCTCTTCTTCCTCCTCCCCTCCCGCTCCTCATCCTTAACCCCCCTCTCGCGCTCCCTCCTCGCCCTCCTCAGCGTTTTCTTATCGACCGACCACGGCACCATCAGCACCTCCCTCTTCCACAGCACCATCTTCCTCCAGCACTTGACCTCGTCCATCGTATTGCTGACCACCTCGACCTTCGCCCTCAGCACCATCTGCCTCGCCCCGCGGAACTCCGTAATCACGCCGCGCGCCTTGATCACCGCGTACAGGCGTACACCGGCAGTGTCCAGGCCGGGCTTGGCGTTGCTGGTCCATAGCAGCACGTCGAGACATGAGCCCGAGCCGTCGTCGACTATTCTTTTTCTTAGCTCAGCCTAGCCTGGTGAGGGGGGAGGAGGGGGGAGGTGGTACGTGTAAACACCGTCCTCTGCTCGTACTCGTCGAAGGCGACTACGGTTCCGACGACCTGCACCCAGCGGATCGGGTGGTTGCTGCCGGTGAAGAAGTAGAGATCGGGCACTCCGGCGTACTCGGGCCGCCGGTAGAGGTTCGTCTGGATGTCGGAGGCAGTGAGACGCGCCAGGGAATCGTAGGTGGGAGATTCGGAGAAGACATATGATGGGTAGAATGTAAGACTGCTGTTGGTCGAGGTGGTGGCCATATGTTGTGGGCTGCGGTGGTGGGGAGGTCGCGTTTTATGGAGTAGAACGTGGAGTCACGGGAGAACGTGTAGCGTGTGGACAGGGTTCTTGAGAATCACGCATCGGCCTTCATCAAAGGTGGTTCAAGAGTGCTTCAACAAACATGAGCAGCCGTTGAATTATGTCTATCATTTACGCCAAAAAACTTTTTGATACGCCAATCATTAAAGCACACCTCCCAACATTCAAGCAGTCCAAGCAGAGAAGAAAAAGGTACATCTAGCCCAATAGAAGAAAAGGAAACAGAAAAAAGCTATATAGACAGACCAGGCAGCCCCTTCATGGTATCTCGGTATCCTATGCATATGTCTCGCTCTTTAACAACCGTACCCATCTAATCCTTAAACTTGTAAGACTTAGTGGAAAAGTCGATAGCACCGCCCTTGTAGCTACCACGCTTCTTCTGTAATAGTGGTCAGCCATCCATCCACACCAACAACAGTACACAAAGCGCAAACGTACCTTATTCTTCTCCTTGGTGAATCCCTTTCCACGAGTAACAATCAAGTCCTGGTGAGCTCTAGCAGCATAGTGGTTCTCGGCGAATCCGACGGCCTCGTAGTCGTTACGCATGAGGGTTTCGTCCTCGTACACTGTGCCGGCCACATTGATGCGCGAGAAACGTTTGTTGGAGGGCGTCTCGATCTTGGGCTTCTTAGCGTCGGGCTCGGATGAGGTGCTGCGCTTGCGCTTGTTGGTTTCGGGCTCCTCCTCCTGCTCCTCGGAAGTGGGAGCGGGATCACTCTTCTTATCCTTCTTGCTCTTGTCCTTCTTGTCCTTCTTGGTATCCTTGGACTTCTTGGCTTTCTTGTCATCTTCGTCAGATGATGAAGAGTCCGAGTCGGAAGAGCTATCGGAGTCGGAAGAGCTGTCGGAGGAGGATGAGCTATCGGACTCGGATGAGGAAGAGGCGCCAGACGACGAGTCCGAAGAAGAGTCGGAGTCGGCGTCTGAAGAGTCCGAAGAGGTAGAGGGTTTGCTGGACTTCTTGGCCACCTTGGCCACCTTGGATTTGGAGTCGGAATCGGAGTCCGACGATGAGGACGAGCTGGAGGACTTGGAAGAGTCCGAATCAGAGGAGGAGTCGGACGACACAGAGGATGAAGAGTCAGAGTCCGAATCTGAAGAATCGGACTTCTTGGACGCCGCATCAGAGTCCGAGTCGGAATCAGACGAGGCGGACGATTTGGATGAGTCGGAGTCCGAGTCCGAGTCCGAGCTGCTGCCATACCTGTTAGCAAGCCCGACCCAGAGTAACGCAAATGTAGATTGCTACCTGTCTTCGCTCTTCTTCTCCTTCTTCTTCTCCTCCTTCTTCTCCTTCTTGTCCTCCTTCTTGTCCTTCTTCTCCTTGGTCTCCTTCTTCTCCTCCTTGACCTTCTTGACCTTCACCTCACTTTTATCATCCCCACTGACCGTAGCCGAGCTATCACTCTTGGCCTCCACATCCTCATCTCCACTCTCATCATCGCTGCTATCCGGGGTCTCCTCGCCACTGTCGCTACTCTCACTATCACTCTCATTCCCACTATCCTCCTCCTCCTCCTGTGCTCCAGTCCCAGCCCCAGCAGCCGCCTTATCCCAAGCCTTCAACGCCTCCGCCAGCGACTTCGGCCCCGCCCCAGCGCCCGAAGTCGTCAACTTCTTCGCCTTGACATCCAGCGGGTAAATCTTCGCACTGGCGTCGAGTCCGTGATCCTTCAGGAACGAGCCGACGAGGGCGATGAGGCGCGGGTCGACAGGCTTTGTCTTTGTCTTGGTGTCTTTGGCCATGGCTTCGGTCGTCGGTCGGTCTTCAATCGTCTGTCGGTCGCGGTGGTTGAGTTGTGCGGACGTGGAGAACACTGGAGTTGCAGTTGAAGTTGCAGTACCTACTTCAAATTTTTGCACGGAAAAAAGACAAAAGTAAAAGTGCGCTTTCGTACGACATGGATGTTTCGAGCTTGCGCCAGTTGGCGCGTTTCTTGGCGGCGGTCACGAGGGGTCGCGGGGAGGGTGAGGGAGCGGGGGTGGCAAAAACGCGAAAAACCATTGTCCACTTCTAGACCCTGTCCCAGTCCCTTTTAGGTTTTTCCTGCGGGGAGGGGTGTGAGGCTTATCTTATCTTATCTCCGTGGCCTCTTCTCTGTTCGCTCGTTCAAGCACGAAAGCACGAACGGTAACTCGGCCTCGGCCCCGCCCTCGAGTGACGAGTCAAAAGAATCCGGAAGCGACAGGTACACGCTGCCGGATAACGGCATTGTGCATACTTTAGGTACATACAGAAAAGCTTCTTCTTGTCTCTCTCAAGCTCTTGATGCAGCACGGCATCTTACCCAGGTCCTGCCTGTAGGTTGTCGATGCAGATCCGGATGCCTGGGGCGTGGGGGGAACTATGACAGACGGCCCCCAACTCCCCCCAACTCCAACTCCAACTCCAACTCCAACTCCATCGAGAGTAGGGTAGAGGAACCACCGGCTGTCTGTCTGGCTGGCTTGCGCGCTGACATTTCAGCTGGACATGTACTCTACTCTACCTATCTGGTTTGCTATGTACCTACCTGTACCGCGTATCTGGCGCAGTGTACTCTACCCACATGGAGGATGGAGGATGGTGGTGATGCCTTGCGTCCTCCTGCACAACTGCGCGACTGCACGACTGCACGAGTGATCGAGCAGCATTACATAGGACCAAAGAGGATAATACCAGACTGCGGACTGCGAGCAGTAGGGAAAGACCAGCGCTTACACGGCCATTTCCGCGCCCCCACCACCGCCGCGCACCGCCAATATGATAACATCTCTTATCTTCCAGGCCACGGGGATGACCACAGATGAACTGGGGGAGGAGAGGGAGGAGAGAGGGGGGAGGACATCTCATGTCCTGTCATGTCCACGTTCCGTCCACGGTTCATCCCCATCCCAATCTTCGTCTTTGTCCGATAGGTACTCTATCATCTTGGGTGAGCACGTTGTCGACACATACATCCTACTAGTATAGACTGTATAGACTACAGTACATAGAGGGAGCAAAGCATCGGACCATGAAGCACGACACCCCGCTCACTACCCACTACCCACCTACCCACCTACCTGAGGTATTCACGATCGCGAGGGAGGGAAGCCGGCATGTGGCGGACATCACACCCCGTCCCGCTCGAACCACCCTCCTGAGTCCTGAGCCTCCTCCTCTCCTCCTCTCCATCCTGGAGTCTGGATATACGCACACACCCAAAACTCGCAAAGTTGACGCTGGAGATCATCACATCACATCATGTACCACCATCCGAAAAACCACCATCCGTAGGCAATCACCGTCACCGGAAAAACCGGATTCCACGTCGCCAGATGAACCACCGCCCCGTATGAAGAACGAAGATGTCACCGTGAGATCACGAGCTCACGGACCTCCACGGGCAGATGGAGGATATGAGAAGTTGAGAACCTCGGATATAATTTCGTTGATGAGTCCGGATAACCACTTACCTACGTCGTTTTTGAATTCGAATGAATTTGCAGCGATACTCTGGTTACAGTGCTACCCACGCAGCCCGTGATCCCTCCCCACTGTACCCACTGTGTATACTCCACATACCAGGTAAGTACATACTGTAAATACTCACGTCCACCGAAGTCGACTATCAGAACTTCTCGGCCACCGACAATCAATAACTTCTCGGCTGCCTTCACCACAAACAAACAATACCCACATAGACACAATACATACCCCGTAGACACAACACCGCCAACCGCAACACCACTGCATCCTGCACCCGCACCTGCACCTGCACGTTCACCTACATCCGCAGGCTGCAGCCATGACCTGATACCGAATCCAGCTGCTCTTCCCTTTGTAGTTATGTTTGTATGTAGGGCTGGGTTGGGGGGGGAGGGGGGGGGGCGTGTCCCATCCACGGTCGTGAGCGGTCTACACACATATTATACCCATAGATATTTGGGGTACATACATGCGCATCTCCCGACGGCCGGATAAACACCTCGCAGTCCTCGCAGGGGGTGCTGGGCTGGACGGCCCAATTTAGAGTAAAGACGTGTGTATCGATAGAGAGAGATAGAGAGAGACAGAGGGGAACAGAGGCACACAGAGCAATGTAATCTGGACGTGGCCTACTCTCCATATAGTGGAGTAGTTGGGGGCGGGAGAGGGGTTACTCCACCGGAGCTCACGCAGGTAGGTAAGCGTGCGCGCGGGAGTGGTTAAGCTTTTCTGGATTTACTTTCCTTCTTTCATTCTTTCTTTCGTTCTGGGAGAGGGAGGTTTCAGGTTTATTGATAACTGATACCGTAATTGAGCAGCCTGGTGTATGTTCGTATGAGATGTATGAGGGAGGGGGGAGACGTCAGTCAAGCTGTCAAACTATATCAAACTATATGATACCTAGGCGAGTGGAAGGGCGGAATCCGAGAGGATATGGCGAGGAAGCATCATATCTTAGTTATCATATCCCATCATCAAGATGGGAAATTGTCCCCCTCAACCGGCCACGGCCACGACCGCGAGTGGTGAAGACTGAAAGTTTGTGCGACGTTGTACACACCTACCGACATACTTGACGTGGTATCGTGACACTGAGAGCACGACAGAGCCTGTGGTGCCGCTGCTGGTGCTACTGCTGCTGGAAGCCGAAATGCAGTGAAGGCTTATATTTGCGACTGTGTTCTGTTCGGGAAAGGATGGTCATTTCAGTGTTAGTTACATGGCAAATTACGCGGATATCGATGCCTTTCTAAATCCTGATTGATGGGATGGGTGCATGGGGAGGCTGGGTATGAACCATCCGCCAGCTGCCAGCCCCGGGAGCTATACGTTCCATCGCGAGGTAGGTATTGGAGCAATGACATTCCGCAGAAACATAGGAGGAGGCCGGAATCCGAGCTCCGTTTGTATACAATTCTAAACGGGGTGAGGCATATCTGCCCGACGGTGGCATGAGAGCTCATCGTGAATCTTCAGAATCAACCGCAGACTCGTATATAGGGTATAGGTATTCCATGCTCGACAGCACAGTCCAGATAGAAAGTGCTCCTGGAACGTAAAGCGAAGATCTGCAGAGTCCATAGCACTCATAGCACCCATCCCTCAAACCCGTCTGGGCATTCATCGATATGCGCCGATGGGCCTCGCTCTGGACCCGTCGACCCTCATCCATAGCCAAGGCCGTTCAACTCTTCTATTGTTCACCCGGGAACATCCCAACTGACTGCCCACGCTCCGCTCAAACGCCCAGACTCTCCCCTCCTCCTCCGCGGCGGCCGCGCGGCTGCGAGGCGGGGCTGGGCGCGGCTGGGTTCACTGTGTTGCGTAGTCCAACATCTCCTAGCAAGATCCTGCAAGGCTGGGTTGACGCGATGGGGATAAGCGTTGGAGTTTTGGGTTGGCATAGTGAGCCTTTGTCTGGGCGTCTGACGTTTGCTTCGATGGATGTTTCCACGGATTCCGGTGCTGTTAATGGGCTAGGTAGTCGGATGCAGAACATAGAGTAGTTGCGGCATGCTACTTCGGCATGCGGCCTCGGGGCCAGGATGGGTTGCGTACATAGATTCTCAGTAAATCTGCGGTTGGCTGTCAGATATCTGGTGACGAGCACGGGAAGTCAGGAGACTTGTCTGCGTGACTTGCGTTGTTGATTGCGTTGTTGACTGGGTGGGATTTCTGGGGAAGCTCGTGTCGGCGATATCGATGTTTGGCGGGCACGGGTGAAGCATCGTCTCAGCCTCGGTCGATTAAGGTTTAGGTTGAAGAAAGAATAGATGGCGGTCTCGGCGGCGACCCTGCCGCAACAATACCACTGCTTCAGGAATTTGGGTCGAGGAGTACACGCACGCAAGACGTCCCGGGGGCCGGCGTCCTACGGTTCTACAGCATTTGAGACAACCCATTCTTGGCCGAGGCGCGTCTTTTCTCCTCCTCTTCCTCCTCCTCCTCCTCCTCCTCCTCCTCCTCCTCCTCCTCCCCGTCGTCGCCGTCGTCGTCTCCTTGCCTACATACACCTTACGCAACTCAATCAGAAACACAACATGAAGCCCCTCATCCTGGTGGGTGGGTGTGTGTGGGTGTTTGTGTGGGTGGGTGGGTGGAAGGGTGGGTGATCATGCTGCTCGACTCTAATTGGACGTGGGACAAACAGATGCGACTGTGGGGGCCATCTTCCAACCATCGGGAATCACGACTTGCCGCCGCGGGGTCGGTGGGAACAGGAGGTGGAGATCCGAGGAGCCACTTCCGCCTGAGCTGCGAAGTTCAGCCATCATTGTGCAGTGCATGAGGATGTAGCTAGTAGTTGATTGGTGGTTGGAGCCCGCATACAGGCTGCCGCCACTCTCTTTGGCTTCATGTGAGGAAGTAGATACCTGAGGAAGTACCTACTCTAGAGCAACAGCGGGCTTTGTGCTCGTGCTCCACTGCGTTAGAGTATCTAGAGTACATAGAGCACTGCGTTGCTGCGTACCAAAAGCCGTGCCGAATCAGCCATGACGTCCAAAGTGCCCAAGCCCGCTGGACTGCCCGCCGTCCTCGCAAACATGCAGGGTCAGGGCGATCTCCGGATACCTGGCCAGCCTCTCATATCCCAACAAAACCACCGCCACCACACTCAACACCACACACCGCCATCGAGCAAAGGGGGGGGAGAGAAGAGAATCCACAGCAGAGTAGAGTAACTAACCGAATACCGCATAAATGCTGGAGTGATAGGACAAGGGGGCCACACTCGAGAACAAACCTTCTCGATGTAGGCCTGCAGGTAAGACACCGCATACAAAGAACATCCCCGCGCCAATTGCCCTGTGGGTCTGGACACTGGACAGGAGTCAAGGGCAGGTAGAGTAGAGTGAGAGTAGGGTAGAGGTCTCCACCGCAAAACCGAGCAGCAGCAGCATGTACATACTCCATGCCTACATACCACTCTACATACCCAGACGTACCGGTAGATTCTACGCTCCCTTTCTCGAGCTGTGCATTGAAAATCGGAAAGAAAATCCCTTGGCTTGCCTGTCTCGGAGTTGTCCCGCCCTCCCCCCCCCACACCCCCAGTGGGTTATAATAATAATAATAACCCGCGGGCATAAGAACGCCGTGACATCCCCTTCTCCCATCATCATCATCATCATCATCACATTGTCGCTCGACAAAGTTTCTGACGATATCTGTACCATCAGCGACATCATCGTCAAATAACACATTACTCTACAACCAATACATCACTTACCAACACCCGGGCTTCAGCTTCTTCCACTTCCCTGTTTCGGCCTCCATACATCATCCGTCTCGGCCTCGGTCTGACTCTGACACGCAGCCACTCGACCCCCGGTGTCTACTGCTGTGTTGCCTTCTGCTTATTCCGCTTCACCTACCTAAAGTGAGTATACTTCTGTCCCCTGCCAGCCCTGTAGCTTTCGTTTCTATCGTTTCTATCGTTTCACACACACACCTCAACGGGTCGCAGACGTCACGGCTGATAGCAGATCCCTCCACAGCTTATTTCCCCCCAGTTTTCGTTTCATCGCCACGCTGGCGGGTTTTTGGTCAATCGGCGGAGCGCTAAAGCGCCGTGGAGGTGTTGGAGGCGGTTCGGATGATAAGGGAAAGAAGAATGGCGACAAGCAACCTAAACTGAAGGAGAAAGCGCCGGTGCAGCCGGCTCCACCTCCGCCCGCCACCACCGACGAGAAGAGAGAAAAACCCCTGTCGACCGAAGTTCCGCCCGAGTATATAACTGAACCCTCCTCCACCCCGAACGACACCGCCGCTACAAACGAAACAAGGAAAATCGCACAGGAGTCTTCCGGGCAGTCATCATCTTCGCGAGCAGAATCATCCACAGCAGCTATCGCAACAACAGCCACTCCCACTACACCACCACTACCCCTACCAGCACCAGTAATCGCTAAGATGGGTACGTTTTATCCACCCGAAACACCCGCGATGGATCCAGCATGACTAACCGAATGCGCACAGAATCCACCCAGGACGATCTCCTCGGCAGCATCCTCAACCGCAACCGCCAATGGGCTACCCGAACGGCCGCGACCAACCCCGCCCTGTTTCCCGCCCTCGCGCAAGGCCAATCTCCCCAGATCCTCTGGTACGGATGCTCCGACTCCCGCGTTCCTGAGACCACGGTTCTCGATCTCCAGCCCGGAGAGGTCTTTGTCCACCGTAACATCGCCAACCTCCTCCCGGCGACCGATCTCTCCTCCCTGAGTGTCCTCCAGTACGCCGTCGAGGTCCTCCAGGTCCAGCACATCATCGTGTGCGGCCACTACGGCTGCGGAGGCGTCAATGCTGCGCTCGCCAACAAGAAGCTGGGACTCATCGACAGCTGGCTCCGGGGGGTGCGCGAGGTCCGGGCAAAGTACGAGAAGCAGCTGGTCGGCTTGACGCCTAAGCAGCAGAGCGACAAGCTGGTCGAGTTCAACGTCATGGAGCAGGTTCGCTCAGTGCTCAAGAACGCCAACGTCCAGGAGGCCATTGAGGAGCGCGGACTCGAGGTCCACGGCTGGGTCTACAACATCAGCTCCGGAGAGTGCCACATGCTCGAGTGTCCCGAGGACCCCGATGCGCACGTCTTCACCGTCAAGGACCCCCGCAAGGAGCTTCTCGATTAAGTCCATGTACTTAGCTAAGTAGGTGGAGCTGTTGGATGTGGACCGAGACTGTGTGTATGTAACTTGACTTGGGTGTGCGCTGTGCTGTATATGGGAAATGGAGATCTGGAGTATGGGAGTGGGGGGACCGTGTGTGTTTCTTCGTATTTTCGTCGAGGCCATTTTTGTTTCTTTTGATTCGGGCCCGTTTGTTTTGTTTATTTTCTTCTGGTTAATGGGGATCTTTTTTTTTTTTTATTTATATCGAGGAGTGGTTTCCGGGCTTTCTGGCGTGTGTGTTTATTGTGGGATTGAACATCTGAACATCTTGTTATCGGGTGTGGAATTTTTTTTTCTCTTTCCACCCTGATCCTTACTCTGCGTTACCTGTCGACATGTTGAGTCCCGTTTTGTAATATCTATGCAAACCGTATCTACGTCGCTTATCTATTCTAAAGTATATGTACAATACTTCCAAGTTCCATCCTGACATCCGTTCTGTTGATCATCCCGTTCCCATTCCATCCCATCCTCGGCAGGCCTGGAGTTTGACTGTGGGGGTTGGGGTAGCTGTTGAAACTTTGTCTGACTCACACTCACACGCATCCTTCTCAGCTCTATTTCTTTCTTCGGGCTGAGGGGTTTTTTCTTTCTTTCTTTGCTCGGCTCGTTGTGCACTTTACTCTATTCTAGCTAAGATGTCGCCATCGCCAAGCTGGGGGAAGGCGGGGCGATGCACGTTTGACTGTTGACGGACGGGACGGTTGAGGGTGAGGATGGGGGGCGTGAGATTCGGGGCGTGAGGTCCGATCTATCCATCCAGAGTCGCCGGCTTGCTACGGCCTACGGGTGGGCCGCTACGACTGCTAGTAGATGCTTAAAGCTGCGAGTGAAGGCGCGGATGGTCGGATGGTATATACATAGGATGGTAGCGGCCACGTGCGCGTCTCGGAGACAGATCGAGTCCTCTCCATGGAACTTGATTCCGTCTTGCGATTTCCATCCGTGCACAAATGCATCCTGTCTAGTGCTCTACACAGCACCGAGTGAGCAACCGTGGCCCCAAGAAATAGCGCCCTTGTCGCCCGCCAAGTTCGAGAACGGCCCTAAGCCCAACCGGAACATTCGTGATTACACCCACCCTTTAACCTCACCACTCGAGCATTTACGGGTACATACCTCGACAAAACACCCCACCAAACACCAAACACCGCACACCCCGCCGGCCCCGAGTCTCGAGTCTCGGCCCCCCCCCCTCCAAATCGATAGCCATCGGCCATCTCAGCGACCCGACCCGGACCCGGACCCGGCCCGAACCCCACGCGCACCGCAGCGCACCCTCGGATGCCGGCAGCGACAACCAATGTTCTCCGCGCCGCCTTCACCGCACCCAGCACACCCACCGTCCCACCATGCCACGCCTAACCTTCTTCCACCTCTTCTACTCAACAACCTTCACCTTCCTCTCACTGATCCTCCTCGCTTTGGTCCTCGTCCCCCTCGGGGACACGATCCAGCAATCGCAGCGGCTCCCCACACACGCGCGACTAGCCAACATCTTCGTGATCTCAGGCAGCTACCTTCTGACAGGCGTGCTGGGGGCCGTCCTCTACACGGCGCGCATGTACACGTTCCGGCGGCTCCTCGCCGCGATCCCTCAGAGCGTGCCGCCCGTGTCGCGGCGAGACCTGCCGAAACGTATGCATGCCGTCGTCACGCGGGGGATTGCCAGGAGTGCGATGGTCGCCAGGGGCGCTAGGCCGTGTATGCCCACTGGCGGGGAGGGGGAAGGGGAGAAGGTCTGGGGCGCGCTGAACCATCCCGGCTGGGCGCCGCCGGGCGGCGAGCTGCGCGGCGTGGAGTATGCGGCGCTTGTGGCGGAGCTGCCGGCGCTGCTGGAGCGCGAGGCCGCGGAGTTGGTGGTGCACGGAGGGGACGTGGATCCGAGGGTTGTGAGCAGGCCGCCAACGGCTACGCTTAGGGCCTGGCTCGAGGGACTGGTAGCCATGGAACTCGCCCCAAGGGACGAGAGTGAGCTTTTCGTGGCGCTGTATGAGCGTGCGAGGTTCCGCACCCGTGGCAAGGGCGTTGAGGAGAGCGAGTTCCGTGCGCTGATGAAGGCGCTGAGGGCGCTGAGGGCCGGGATGTGCGCGAGTCCGCCGCCGACGGCGCAGGAGATCCAGCAGCAGGACCAGCCAGGGTGGGAGTATCTCGACGGCGGAAGGGAGTATGAGGGCTCGGTGCGGGTCGACCGCGACCGCAGCAGTCGCGGATATTTGTTTGAGGCGGCGGCAGGGTATGGCGGGTACGAAACGGTGTCGAGCGAGGAGTACGGGTTCGTCTCGTATGACGCCGGCGCTGGCAGCGGGATTGCCAGTGGCGGGTATACGCCTGACAGATCCGACGCCGGGAGCAGATATCTCCCCTCAAGGGCTAGAACGGCGTCGGGCGCTACTATCATCACCCAGCCGAGACGCAGGTCTGGGTATGCGACTAGCAGCATCGCGGCTTCGTCGGTGATACGAGGCAGTGGCGCTGGTGGTGACGATGGAGATAGTGTCAGTATCGAGTTTGATAGATCCCGAGATCGAGATCGGCGGTTAAGCGTGCGGCCGTCGTCGGGTACGTTTGGATGAAACAACAATCTCAATAACCTCAACAACCTCTCTCTGTCTGTCTGTCTGTCTGTGTTTCTTTTGTTCTGCGTATAGTATAGACTAAGTGCCTACTTTTCTTTTCTGTTTTTGGGAGGCGGCGGGGATGGGTGGACTGGAGTTCTACACATTGTATTGTATCATACGGTCATGGCGTTTTGGGGATACTTGTACCTATAGTGTTTGTTTGTTTGTTTGTTTGTTTGTTTGTGTGTGTCTTGTTACAACTGCCAGTCGGCACATTTCCTACCTTCCTACCTACCTCTCTTGTCATTGCTTCACTTTGACTCTACTTCTTTCTCTTGTCATTACTTCACTGACTCTACTTCTTCTTTCTCTGGTCATGAAGTAAAAAAGTATGTACATATAATATCACCTACCACTTGCAGATATGGAAGGGCCTATGGGACCGGTCCAAGGAGTCCGCTGGACATCCCATCCGAACAAATATATACCTACGGAGAGGCCTACAGGTGCTCATGCTCACTAACGGGATGAAAGGTACTCATGTCTACGAGATATCCATTTATTCGTCTATTGATCCAACCAGCAGCTATCCATGCAGCCAGCCGGCCAGTCAACCGGCCAAATGACCAAACAACCCAAGCACTACCGTAGCTTCACTTCACCTCACTCCGCTCTACTCAAAAGCCGTCGAAATGCAACTAATCATGTCCCTCATGTTCATCCTGTCCATCATCCTCCTCCTTGCCGACTTCCCATAGGGGTATGGATATAGTGTGCAGGAGAGATGATATGCATGAGCATAATTTCAAGTAGGAGGAGGAGGCACGGGAGTTGAAAGAATCAGTGCGGAGGGGTATCATGGACGAAAGGGGAATTGGGAAATGTAAAATCCAGATGTTATTTCATATCGACCCGTCTATCCATCCGTCTATTAAACGCCTCTATCCCCACCGCTTCACCGTCTCGTGACCGATCCGTTACAAAAGCTTCAAATGCCCCGAAATAGCATCGACGACACTCTTCGGCGCTACCCCCCCCCCCCCATTCCGTCAGCATTCCCCTCCCCTCCCCCTCCCCCCTCTGTGAAAGAAGACTCACCAGGCCCCAATCCCAGCACCGTCGCGCTGCCAGCCGCAATCTGAGTCCTGCCAGCATCCCTTACGACCCTCGCGACGACCCCCAGACTGATGGCGGTAGCGAGTAACTCCTCGAGCGCGTCCTCGCCGCCGTCCTTAAGCTGCACGGCAATCTTGGTCTGGCCCCGCGTCTCCCAGCGCCGCACGAGCGCCGGCGCAAGCCGTAAAGCGGTCTTGTAGCACATCAGTGTTGCGTGTCCACATTGCGCTGCAATCTTGCCTTTCGTCATCCCGAGGTCTGTGCGGACTACGAAGATCTACGCGGGCGTCAGTGGAGGCGAGGGGGGGGGGGAGGGGGGGAGGGACGGGGGAGGGGGGGAGGAATCAATAGACCATCTTGCAATCCTCGTCGTTGCCGGGAAACGACGAGATGCCCTCTGCGTTCTCGTCGTCGTCGCTATCATCTTCCTCCTCCTCGTCGCTCCCATCCTCCTCCTCCTCCTCCTCCTCCTCCTCCTCTTCCTTTACCGCTGCCGCCCCCTTCTCCGCCTTCTTGGGCACAAACTCGTCCTCGGAAGTGGGTGCGCTCCGCGCCTTCGCCTGCAGCTCGTGGACGACCGAGGATCTGCGCAGGCCCGAGGATTTGCCGATGTAGTAGCCCACGCTTGCGGCGATCGCCGTGGTGAGCAGGCTTACGGCGGGGTGGGATAGCGACGGGGCCATTGTGTTGCCTGGTTTGGTTGCCGTTGCCTGGGTGTTTGGTGGGTTGGTTGCTTGGTGGGTTGGATCAGATGAGGTCACGTTGGTGATAAGCTTTTAAGCCGCAATGTAGTCTGACTATGTAGGGTTTCAGGTTGGCATTAGTACTTACATATGGCGTTGAAGATCTACATGTGACAGCACGAGTGGATTGAAGAACCTATTAATCACGTCCGATATATAACTTTTAAAGCGACTATACTACAACAGCACCACGCTACAGAGCAACCACCTAATTCCACAATCTCGCCGTCCCATCCGCTCCGGCCGAGAACAGCCAGCACTCCCTGGGGTGCCAGTCGACATCGAGCACGCCGAGCGCCTGCGAGACCTTGTGTCCTCTGAGGATCTTGAGCGGCACAATCAACGGGTTCTCCATCATGTCCGAGAACACCTTTCCGTGAAACACCTGGATTGTTCCGTCGTCGGAGGCAGACACGAACAGTGGCAGACCGCCCTGGTGGTACTTGACGGCGCGGATAGCCTTCTCGTGGTATCGCAGAGTCCGGTAAGGCTTGGTGGACAGTTCGAGGTCGTGCCACAGAAGGCGCTTGTCGTAGGATCCGACGATGATGTTGTCACCACCGGAGTGCACATCGAACGAGGAGATCCAGCGAGCTCCCGGTTGCAGCGTCTTTATGAGCTCTTGTTTAGCCAGGTCGTAGGAACGGACGTAGCGTTGAGTTGCAACAAAGAGGATGGGGCGGAACGGGTGAAACTCGACCCGCTGGATGATACCCTTCGATTTGCGGAAGGGAGACTGAGAGGTGTGGCGGGTGAGCTGGTGAATGGCCACAGCGCGGTTTTGGCCTGAATTTGTTAGATTGACCCCCCAATCAATACAGATGGTCACATACCTTCAGGAGAAGTTGTAGCAAGGTAGTCACCACGTCTGTGCCATGCGATGTGCTTGATCGTGATGCGGACAGTGACTACGACCACAACACCCTGTTCCGCGAGCTTGCCCTCGGGTTTCGACCACTTTCCTGGTGGCTCCTTCTTTGTAGGGTCCTTCTTCTCACCACCCGTCGCTGTTCCGTAACCGTGCTCCAGTATCCGTCTGCTCTCCATCTCCATCTCAGGATCGAATAATGGTGGTACCATAAGGTATAGATCATCGCCACTGTTCTCGTTAGCATGTGTGCCTATATATATGCCAAGATAGTAAACTTACGCAGCAGCCGCCAGAATCGCAGACTCCTTGACTGGTCTCCACTTCACGCAGTTAACGGCCTCTCCATCAGCCAGCTTAATCTTCCATACTTCCCTTCCAGTCAGAATCTCCCAAACGCGAACAGTGCCGTCTTCACCACCCGTCGCTAACCAGATACCCGTAGGATCCACATTCAACGATCTAACTCTCCCTTCGTGTCCACGGTAGATGGTCGCAGTGGTCGTCGGGAAAGGCCTCAGATCTTGTGGGCTGGGCAGCTTGGGCAGCAAGCTCTCGGGATCGATATTCAGCTTATTCCTCCGTACTCTAGGCGCCAAGTACAGATCCAGACACCTTTCGAAGCGCTCATTGAGGAATCTGTCGTAGCCAGGCACCAACCGGAGGGCCTTATGTTTCCTGGGCAAGTAATCCTTTTCTCTGTCCTCTGGATCATTCTCCTCCCACTTCTTCTTCTCCTCCTCAGTAGGCAAGTACTCCTCTGGCGGATTGTAAGACTCGTCGTGCGTCGGCGGGGGTAGCTTCGGCGCGGGGATATGCATGATATGGTCTTCACGCGGCACCTCGTTCGCCCAGATATCGTAGTACTGTGGCTTCTCATCCTTCGGCTTGTTGGGGACTATGCGGCCCTCGCGGATGGCGCGCACAATCTTCATTATCCGCTTTGCCTCGTGCTTCGAAGGGACGAACCGGCGCTTCGGTTCTGGCGCGGCGCTCAAAGGCATCACCTCCGTCTTTGAGGTGAACCACTCTATAGTAGGCTGTCGTAGCTGTCAGCAAACCACCTAATACCCTGGCATCCGCACGGAAGAATCCCACCTCGTAAGGATTGTACCCATCCACAGGCACCTCGTCCATCTGAATCTTGCGCAGGATCTCCAGTTCCTCGCGGGTAAGGTTGAGATCGCCACCCGTGTTCTTGTCCAGCATTCCCGTCCAGCCCTTCGGCACATCAATCGTATCCAGCAGGGCATCCAGCGCCTTACCCTTCGCCGGGCGCATGATCTTCTTCCCGTTAATGTCGTATCCCACATGCGGGTACTCCTCATACAGCGCCAGATCGATGTTTCCAATGGTATTCAACTCCTCGCGGTCGGAGTCATCCGAGGCGTATCCGGTGTCGACTTCGGGGTATATGTATCTCAGATTCCCCGCCGAATCTAGAACTGTCTTGCGGCCGTTCTCGTCGACTTCCCCATCTACCTCGTCCTCATCCTCGTCTTCCTCATCTTTCTCGTCCGCCTCCTCGTCGGAAGAGGGGATCTCGTCACTATCAATTTCCTCCTCGTCACTGCCGACTTCAGGGAATTCGTCGACCTCATCGTCATCCTCCTCTTCGGAGCTGGAATCGTTCCCGTCGCTGTCGTCGTCGCTGTCGAGCGCGCCGCCGTTCAGAAGTCCGGTCTGGAATTCGTCTTCAGAACCGGAGTCGGCGATTATCTCCTCCGTCATTGCTGCCTTTCGTTTTTTAATATTTGAGCCTGCCATTGTGTGCGCGGTGTGGGAGACTTGGTGGGGTGGTAGGTTGGTGGTGGGCAACGCAAATCGCAGTTTCACTGAAGAGACGCAAATCAACTTTTTTAGCGGCTGATTTTATCTGGCGCCGAAGCACCCGGCTAATCCGCATGCGTATACCCCGAGTGACCTCTATGATCCACCTCCATCCCTCTACTCTAACCTCTTCCTAACCGCAAAGAAGTAATTCCCCACCTTCTCCCCGTGATCCAACATCTTCCACCCCAGTCCGGGCACATAAATACAGCCCTTAAACATCGCCTCATCCCATCCCTTCTGCTGTGCGAAAAAGTCCTGTAGCTCGTCCGCATTGACATACTTTTTCCAATCGTGTGTTCCTCTAGGCACGATATTGAGGATATCCTCCGCCACAAGCTTCGTCGTGAGGTAGCTCGTCCACGTCCGTGCGATTGTCGATCCGAGGATCCAGCCGCCTGGCTTGACGTGCCCCATGCATTCCCGCAGGAACACGGCGGGGTTGGGTACATGCTCGACCACTTCCATTGTCGTGACCTGTTGCTCATCAGTCCAACGCCCTCATACCTCGGCTTGGGGCCAGAAACATACCACATCAAACCCCCCCACCACCCGCTCTCCCCCCGCTTCCCTCAGCGCATCAATCGTCGTGCCCAGATACTCCAACCTGCCCCTCAACCCAGGATCCATCCTCATATGCGCCCTCGCAACCGCGAGCACTTCGGGGGTAGGATCGATTCCGAGGACGCTTTCAGTCCCGCGCAGGCGCGCAAGACTCTCCGCCAGGATCCCGCCGCCGCAGCCCACATCCAGGAACCGCAGCGACTGTGCGCCAGTGTGGCCGCGCGCGAGACACGAGCGCAGGAACTGCAGCCGCAGCGGGTTCATCAAGTGCAGCAGACGTGAGGTCCCGTGCGGGTCCCACCACTCGGCTGCGAGCGCCGAGAAGTGAGAGACTTCTGTTGGGTCGACGGAGGAAGTGTGCGTGCTGTGCTGCCGGCATTGCGAGGGAATACGCTGGAGGCTGGGTATTCGTGTGTGCAACGACCGGAGTGCTCGTATTGTGGACATCGCGAAGAGGGGTTGCGGATTGGAATGGAATGACGACAGCCTGCAGTCGCTCGGGTGTTGCCGAAGTCTGGCACGGTGGGTGGTGGTACCCTAACCCTCACGGCTATCACTCGCCCTTGGAATGTTTTGTTGAATGCGAATGGCATTTTCAAAGCAACATAGGGCCATAGGCGAGGCAATCGGGAACTTACGTTACGCCAACCGGCCACGGGCCTGGACAGTGAAGTGGAACCGGTTGTGCAACTAGCATGATCTGAAGGGTCGAATGCAAAGATGATTGAACAGAATCCAAAAACAACGTACAGAACCAAGCTTATAGTGGTTCATCTAACAGACTCAAGCGCAAAGAACCTCCGGCATGACTTATAATCCAGACAAGAAGTTGCGAATCGATTAAGGCAAAGAAAAATGGAACATAAAAACAAAGAAAGAAGCCCTATGAAAGAAGACGAGTAGTGAAGTAATACTTAAGGAAAACAAGAAAAAAAAGAGAAATGTATCATCGTAAACAAATGCAGCCCATCACTCGTCACAAAATTCCCCCCAATTTTGATTCCTCCTTCCATCCGAATCCCCTTTTAATGTGCAGTGACGCCCTGCAACTTTGCCTTGTAGTACTCCAGGCTGAGGTTGACAGTCTTCTTGAGGTATTGGTCCTCAGTCAACGGCAGTTCGAGAACCTTGGTCTTGTCGCCGGCCTATAGAACAGTTAGTCTTAGACAGAACAAAAAGGACACCGAAATACATACCATATCACCATACTTGAGTACTAGCGAACCCACAACTCCAGCCATCTCGCGCACCGCAATGCCCTGCAAGAAGCCGCAAATCTCCATGTTCTTCAACGCACCGAGCAACCTCCGAGCAACCGCCTGCTTCTCAGTCTTAGCCTTCGGCGAAGTAGTCTTGGTCAGCTCCTGGAGGCGGATGTAGTCGAGATACACCTGGCCACCGAGACCCCAGCCCTCAGGTTGCACCGACGAGTCGAACTTGGCCAGGATCTTCTTGAGGTCGTCGAGGTTGCCCGAGATGATAGCTTCGGGTGCAACCTGCTCGATGATAGTCTTGTGCGCCTCAACCCAGGCCTTAGCTGTAATGAGGTACTCTGCTTCCTGGAGGTAGTCACCGGCGTGTCTGGCCCGGAGGGCCTTGGCCTCGTAGATCCAAGTACGCGGGATGCAAAGAGTCTTCTCCAAGAATGTCCTCTTCTCGCCATCATCAATCTCGTCAATGTGTCTGCCGATCAGATTCTTGAGGCCAGCACCACGAGCGTCGGCGTCCTCGATATGCATAATCACAAACAGAGACCACTCCCACAGACCGGCACTCTCAAGCCCTCCAGCGAACTCGGCGGTAACCTGATCACCCCTACTACTGTAATCGTCTAGGGGACTGAAATCTCTAACTCCAATCTTGGCGAGGATGGTACGCATCTGCCATGAGACCCGGTAGTCAAGCTTATTGGGACCGATGTTCGCAGGAGAAAGCACCTCTTCGAGTGGAAGGCGGGAATCCGCGTAAAGTCTCAAGAGACCCCAAAGAATATCCAGTCTGCCGTCTGCTGGCTCCTGTGCGTCGAGATACCAAGGCGTAGGCCGCGCCACCTTTTCGGGGAATCGCAAGAAGTCTTCTTCGTACCTCTTCACTAAACGACCGATACTCTCCTCTTCGAAACATCCGTACCAGAACTTCAACGCCAGCGCTCTCCGCCAGTCCAGGCCGAAATAATCAGCAAAGAAGATATCGGCCGTAGCATCCTCGGCAGGGTTCTTGACTCCTTCAGAGAAGCAAGTCTCCCCAGCAAGGAGTTCATAAAGCGCACGCATCGGGATCGTGAGCTCACTAAGAACACCTTTGCCCTTCCAGTGATCGATCTGGCTGCGAATCGACTGTCGGACAGATCGATCACCGCCAATCAGAGGAATCAGAGAAGCGAGCCTGAAGTCCTGAGCATCGATCAGCACCGAGCACGCCTGTTCGATACGGTATGCAGTGAGATGTGCAAAAGCGGCTTCTTCAGCAGTAGGCGCTGTCTGAGCATGGAGATCGGCATCATTTTCCACAAGCTCCTGGAGGAAGCGAGACAGAAGTTCCTTTCGACGCTTCTCGTGAAGGTAGAACTCTAGCTCTATGTCGTCAACAATGGGAATGTTGTCGAGCGGGTCCCAAAGAACGCTCGCAAGCCTCCACACATTCCTCTCGTGTTGTTCCTTAGAATCTCGCGTCCAAGGCAGTTCAGTGAACTCTTGAAAGAGGAATTCCATTTTGACCTCGGCGAATGGAATGCCAAACTCATCCAGCCTAATGTCGGTGTTGCGCATTTGAAGTTCCAAAGGCCGAGGAACGACATGTGACTTGGTGCCGAAGTTCAGCTTTGCGATGCTCAAACTTCCCTCACTCTTCCGAACACGCAATGCCTCCAATTGACCCATGTGGATGATGATTCCCTCAGGTCCCCACGCCGGCCTCACGGATTTACGCCAGGCTTGGTCATCGCCCTCCAACTCATTGTAATCAAAGGGTTCTCCGGAGTAGGCAATCAAGGCAATCGGTTTCTTGGCGATGGGTCGTACCCCTTCCGAGCTAAATTTCGAATCGCCGAGTGACTAGAATTGCACACAAACACATGTCTCAGCATTTTTATTCCTACAACTACAGCGGACAGGACAACATCGAACAGATCCCAATTCAATTGAAAAAACAAAACATAGGATCGTAAAATAGCAAAAAACGTTAAACCACAGCAAGCGGATGAGAAAGTCAAACCTCAAATTCATCCCGTTTCCTCGTCCTTCCCGTATCCCTGCGTGCACTGCCGTTCAACTTCGAAGGGCTTCCGTAAAGGTCGTTGGCCAAATCAAGTAGTCCATAGTTGAGAGGCTCCATCATCGCCTTCCGAGGGCTGGGCGATCTACCCCCACCTCCACCGGCAAAGAAGCTCTCGCCACCGAACCGTCTCTTTACAGGACTGATCGTATTATTAAGCTGTTCAGTCCAGTCCTTGCCTAATGCCAACGCCTTTGAAGGCGTCGCCGCAATCGACTTCGTTGGTGATCTCTCCGGGGACATAAGAGCCAGTCTCTGGGGTGATTCCTCGTTAAGAGCACCAGTCGTATCCTCGTCGTCGTCCAGGATAATTGTCGACTCCTCCACCGCATCGTCCTCCTCCGACAGGGGCTCCGCAGGTTCATCTTCTTCAACACTGCCTACGGAGCCTTCCCCTAAAAAAGACTCACCAGTCATGGTCACATCACCCTCCTCCTCCGTGTACTGGTCTTCGTCAAACGATGAATTGATGGGCTCATCGTCCTCGCCTAAAAAAGATCCCGGGTGCTGTTGAGCGGTAGCGGGGGCAGTTCTACGTGCAAGAGAACCAACAGCGGTAGGGAGCCTCTTGAAGTCAAAGGTATCATCCAACCCGGAGGTGGAATCCATACCGCTGATGTCGGCATCCATGCTGTTCTCGTCATCAATCATGAGTGAGGCGGGAGTAATAATTGCCGGTCTCGGGGTAACAGTGTTGTCGTCGGGACCAAAGATGGAGTCGTCTCCCTGACTGGTGGCGAAGCTGGAATCGTAGGTCATCTCCTCCTCCATTTCTTCATCGTCGCTGTCAACCAGACCGTAGGTGGTGAAATGTCGGACTCTGAAGATCCAAAGACCCTGCTGGGGGTGGTAATCGACAAACTCGGTATCCTTAATACCCTTCAACCGGCGAATGTGGGTGATGTACCTAGGGTGTTCGGGATCGACGATCTTGTCGCGCTGGTTCTTCGTGAGGGGGAAGCAGTCCTCCAGGGAAATAGTGGCAGGAACGTTGAGGCCGTTTCCAGGAGCGGGCTTTTCCAACCCCTCTGGGTAGACAGTGCAAACTCTGGTATCAAAGATAACCACGGTGCCGGGGATATCTTCAAATTCGCAAGGAAGACCGGAGATATCCACAGGATTGTCGAAGCGGACGGAACCATATCCGCGACGCCCGACAGTAAGACCGATGACCTTCTTCTGCTGCTCACGGGTGTAGGACCGAAGTTTCTGCGCACTGGGAACCATCCAGTATGTACCGTGAGCGCGCTCCTCACTAGGCTGCTGAACAAGAGCAACCTCGTTACCAAGCACTGGGGCGCTGCTAGAGGATACAGCACTTCCCTGAGGAGACTCGTCAAGATCCGTAGCCCGTCTCCGCTCAGGAGTGCGCCTGATGAATCCGAGCTCCTCGGCTGTGGGTGCAGGGCCACTAGTCGCCTTAGCAGGCGTAGCGCTGCCAGTACCGAATAAGTCTTCATCCCTCTTGTTCTCAGCAGCCACGTCAAAGCTGACAGTCTTTTTCAAGATACCCTTAGTAGTGACAGGAGACGCGCTGCCCGGTCCACTGCTAATGCTGTCCGCCCTACCACGTGGCTCGTTGTTGTCTGTGAACAAGTCCTGATCCTTGATCTTCTTGTCGATGACCAACTTCTTCAACCCGGCGGCACGACTACTAGTGCTTGAAGAGAAAGCGTTCGCACTCAAAGCCGAGTCGTCGCCGTCAAAGAGACTCAATTTGTTGTTGGACGAGAACGATCCCCTGGATCCACTCAGAGAAGTGGTAGTCGTGGTGGACGAAGCGAACGGAGATCCGCTTCTGGAGTAGCTGTTGCCGAGGCGGGGCGTGAGAGCAGGCTGCCTGGGAGCAATCTTGTGGTGAGGAATCATTGCTGCTTTCTTGGTGGTCGAAGAGCCGAGAGGAGTCGCAATCGGGCCCAGCTGGTTCTGCTGTCCTGGACCCATAGTACCAAGCAAAGCATTTCCATACGGCGAATCCGCAATCGAGGTTGTGAATTGCTGTTGCTGCTGTTGTTGGCCACCAAGACCAAGGCCAAGGGTGTTGCCGAACAGACTCGACTGCTGCTGCGGTTGCTGTTGCTGCTGCTGATTTCCAAACAGGGATGAACCGCCAGAAGTCTGGGTAGTGGTGTTCAAACCGCCAAACAATCCACCACCCGTATTCTGCGCAGGTGCACCCGACGCGAACAAACCGCCAGGCTTTGTCTGATTGTTTCCAAACAGTCCACCACCGCCAGTGTTGGTGGCGCCAGCCTGGGTGTTTCCAAACAATCCACCGCCACCAGTATTCAGAGACGGCTGGGCGTTTCCAAACAGACCACCAGTTTGCTGCTGCTGAGGTTGCTGGTTGTTTCCGAACAGACCACTAGTGGCAGAAGTATTAGTCGTAGCTCCTCCAAATGCAGGCTTGGCTCCGAAAAGTCCACCAGCCTGTTGTTGTTGAGGCTGCTGGTTTTGCTGCTGGTTACCGAAGAGGCCACCACCTGTAGCAGGGGCCGCGGATGTCGCACCGAAGCCGCCAAAAGCAGGCTTCTGTTGTTGTTGATTGTTCTGCTGCTGCCCAAATGCGCCAAAGGATGACGGCTGCTGCTGCTGCTGCTGTTGCTGTGTGTTTTGCTGCCCGAATCCTCCGGTAGCGCCGAAACCAGTGCCCGCGGCCTGGCCTCCGAATCCAGTGGCCGGCTGTTGCTGTTGTTGTTGGGGTTGCTGACCGAACAATCCACCGGTAGCACCAGTATTCTGCTGTCCAAACCCAGTTCCAGGTGTAGCTCCGAAGCCACCAGTTGTGGGAGTGGTTGCAGCAGGTCCACCGAAAGAGAATCCAGGCTTAGCCTGCTGGGTTGCGGGCCCAAATGCACCCCCGGTATTATTGCCAAACGCCCCAGTATTGCCAGTATTGCCGAAGCCACCAGCAGCAGGAGCAGGATTCGATCCAAACAGACCCCCTCCAGCCGTACCCGTGTTGCTAGCTCCAAACAATCCACCGGTCGTAGCAGGCTTCGCTCCAAAGAGACCTCCGCCAGCCGCATTGTTGTTGGTAGCTCCAAATGCACCACCACTGGTTGCTCCGAATCCACCAGGCTGTTGCTGATTGTTGGCACTTCCAAACAAACCACCGCCACCTGCGGCCCCAGTGTTCGTAGCGCCAAACCCGGTTCCAGTAGTTGCTGGTGCCGCATTCGCTCCGCCAAACCCAGAGAAACCGAACGCGCCAGATTGGCCGGATGAGTTGCCGTAGCGTCTTCCGGTAGCATAATCCTGCAGACGCAATTCCTTTGACGGCTGTTAGCATTCATCGCGCAAGAACACTCATAGAGAGAATTCTACTTCTAGTGACCAGTTTTTATAGGCCGGCATGAACGAAATGGTCTGGAAGTGGTTCATCAAGGAGCTACTAGCTTCCTTCTCTTGCGTAACGGTGTAGGGAGTGGTCGCGGTTCCGTTCACAGGCAGAACAGAGGTATCCGCGCCACCAAATCCAATACCTCCAGCATTACCACCGGCAGGCGCACCGAAAGCGCCAGTGCCTGTAGCAGCGCCGGACGTCCCAAAGATACCACCTCCCGTCGCACCAGTGGTGGTTGTGACACCGCCAAACCCGGGCTTTCCAGCATTTCCGAACATTCCTCCGCCTGTAGCACCCGTGTTGGTAGCGCCAAATGCAGACGTCGCGGTGTTGTTTCCAAAGGCTCCTCCTCCGCCAAATCCAGGGTTCGTATTCGGTGCAGCGGCTTGCGATCCAAAGAGTCCACCTCCAGTTGTTGTTGCACCGAAAGCAGGTTTTGCACCGAAAGCGTTACTAGCCTGACCGAATCCTAGAAAAGAAAAGCGCGGGAAGTTAGCTCATCATATACCACATCAGGTACAGGCATCTGGGAGGGAAAGTGGGTATCAAGTTGGCGGTGGTGACTCTTCAACAAGGCTGTACACCGTGTAACCGGAAGGCGCAAGAGTCATCGATCAGGGAAGACCACCGATGATGATTGCGCACGACAAAGCCACCACCGCGACAGATGACGATTTCCCTCGCGACAAAATGGCTGGAGGGGGGTGGAATGTTTACCTCCTCCGGGAGCAGCACCACCAAAAGCAGGAGTCGTCGAAGAACCAAAAGCGCCACCGGTGTTTGTCGCACCAAAGCCACCGCCGCTACCAAATCCTGAGTAAAGCGCGGAAAGATCATGTCAGTCAGTGTCTCTTGTCGTGAACATTGCAGAAGCCAAGCGATCGGTCGAGCGAGTGGATTCGATCAGGAAGACGCGCGCGCATACGAGCGCGTTGAATCCACCGAAAAGAAGCGGATGGCTTTCCGTTCATTCAACCATCGTCGCAGCCACCATCACTGCCATCAGGTCGGGATATGTCCCCAGGACTTTTTTTCCGACGCGTTATCCTCACAAAGGACACGTTCGTACGGCCAGCCGTAACAACCCCACCAGATGGGATGGGCCTCTGCATCAAGCAGCGCGATGAACCCTGTGAACGCAAGGAGAGAAGTATCGAGGGCTGAACGTACCTGGAGCCGCAGGCTGTTGTTGTTGCTGCTGTTGTTGCTGCTGTTGTTGCTGCTGACCGAAGCCACCGCCGGAGCCGAACACGCTGCCAGTGGTACCCGTGCCGGGATTTGTGTTATTGTTGGTGCCGAACCCTCCAAAGCCACCAGTATTGGATTGACTAAACATGATGGCGGTTATGGAGGAATTGCGCGTAAGAAGAGCTGCAGGTGTGGTTGTTGTGATGCTCTGGATTAAGGCAGGGAGATTGGGTGGTCAAAGAAGGGGGGAGTTGGGGGGTGCAGTGGATGCTTTGTTGTGTTTTGTGTGGGGGGGTGAGGGGTTGTAAAGGGAAACGAAGGTGAAATTGAAGAGGAAGAGCAAAGATTCTTGGAGTCGGGTTGTGGTTGGAGTAGGGTGTGTGGTGTTGACGTGTGCTCGGGTTTTGGTGATGAAGCGGCTCTTCTTTAACTAGCGACTTTTTTTCAAGTCCAGCGAGCGAGAGGTTGAGGACAAGCGAAGGAAGAGGAGAGAGATACTCGTGGCAGCGCAGAAAGACCAGTGCGACGAAATGGGCGAGAACCTCCTTGCTCGAATGCCAAGACAGCAACTCCCAATTTAATGATTCCACTTCGGGAGTCAGAGGAGAAGAGGACTCACAGCAGAGGGCATAGAAAAAGCGATATCGATGGGTCTATTCACGGTCTAGAAGCATGCGAATCCAGTCACCCGACGAGGTGTGATAAAGTGTGAACATCACATATCATCGATTGGCGGATGGGATTCGAGTGATATGAGCCACGTGACGAGGTGAGCCGTTCGGGCGCGTCACCTCAACTTCTCAAGCCGTAGCAGCAGCAACGTAAACACGAAAGACGACAAGAAAGAAACAACAACACAGCCTCCGCCACAGCCTACGAGGACTCGCCCACACCGGCACGTCTAGACACCTCTCGATCGAACCAGCCTACTCCACAGTCACCATCATGTTCGGAAACACCCGGCAACCCAATGCGAACGTGGCGCCACAGTCATCACGAACGCGTCGTCAAAACGTTCGCCCGGCCTCACCCGGCCCGTCAACGGGCGGTGGAAGCGGCGGCGGAGGTCTCTTCGCTGCACAGGTCGGAGCGAGCGGGAAGGCGCCCGCGACAGCATACCGCGAACGGGAGCAACAATACCAGGCGGAGTTGACACAGGACCAGAAGGATGAGATTGCCGACGCGGTGACTAAGCCTGTCTCCAGCAGAAAGAGAGGAGAAGAGAGAAGAAGAAGACGAAGCTGATTGATGTAAAGTTCAACCTCTTCGACCTGAACCAAGACCGCAGGATCGACTACCACGAGCTGAAAGTACTGCCCACCGATCCACCCACCCGCCCGCCCCGCCCGCCCCGCTAATCTCCCCAGGTAGCAATGAAAGCCCTCGGCTTCGACACGCCCAAGCCAGAGCTGCTGGACATCATCCGGCGGCACGGCGTGACCCCGACAGGCGTAGCACCACCAGCCAACACCCCTCCCACCAACCTTTACATTACCTACGAAGCATTCATGGACATCATGACACAGAAGATCGCGGAGCGTGACCCGCTGGAAGAGATCGGCCGTGCGTTCGAGCTCTTCGCTGGTGTGGGCAGTGGGGGACGCCAGGACGGCAGGGACCCGAAGATCGGAATCGACGATCTTAGAAGAGTCGCAAAGGAGCTCGGAGAGAATCTCGAGGAGGAAGAGCTGCAGGCTATGATCGACGAGTTCGATGTCGATAATGATGGCATGAGTATGTCCTTCCTTCCCCGTGTGCAATATCACTGGAAATCACTCGAGTGCTAATGATTGGTGATGCGTGCAGTCAGTAGGGAAGAGTTCATAGCTATCTGCAAAGGGGATTGATCGAATAGGCTGTTGTTTCTTTCTAGTTAACTCGCTCACTGCTTTTGCCTTTAATGATCACCAATACATGGACTCCCGCAACATCGCGCTGTGCCGTGGTATCTTGTCTTGTACCTATTCTAGCACAATCCCCCCACCTCCTGTTCCCACCTCGGCCTCGGCCTGCTGTCAGTCATAACCGATTACATACCATCACCATGTGCGAGCCTTGAACAATAACAATCCTCCCATTCACTGCCCGCCCATCCCACACAGCGACAATGTGCTCCGTTATCTAGGTATATTGATGTAATCAACGAACCTGACGGGATGATCCTCGATACCCACTCTACTACATATAGGTAAAACCTGACAATCCATCATCCAACCGCCAACGGCGAGTAGGCAATATATCTTATCTTCTCCGTGTATCTTCCAACCGCCCATCCTTTTAACGAGGCGACTTATAAACTGGCTCAGTCCTACCATGATAATCTCAAGTTTCAACAACCAAAACACAACTAACCACGCACAACCTATCATCCGCCTCCAGGCTCCACGGGTCCCCGCCGACAATCACCATCCCACCAACTAGTCCTCCGCGCCCCACAGAAGAGCAGACATTGCAGCCAACCCGGTGAACCACCGAACGTCAGAGCACACGGCAACGATACATCCCAGCCGAGCTCTGTCGTTCCCGGACGTCGGCCCTGGCAGCCAGCCGGTCCGGCCGGCTTATCCCCCCAACCTAATCCACGGGTTCAAAGAAACCGGCCCAGCTGGCTGACCGGCTTGTTGGCTATTGAGAACTCTGTGTGCGGACGGGACCCACGGATCTCGGCTCGGCTGCAATCGCCGCTGCATCCCGCCTCGCAGCAGCAGAAAATCAACCCGGTGGGATACAGTATAGTACCAGGTATCTTCCGAAGAAGCATCGGCCGACACGTCAACCCGTCAGAGCCAGAGCCAGAGCCAGAGCCAGAGCCAGAGCCAGAGCCAGAGCCAGAGCCAGAGCCAGAGCCAGAGCCAGAGCCAGAGTTTGCATGTCACCATAGGTACACACCCCGCACGGGAAGCATCGTCCGCAGCATCCCTCATCACGGAGCACGCCAGAGCACGCCCGAAAGCTTCACGGTTCACATATTTCGCTCACAAAATTCGTGCCGAGAACCTTCGTGCCGAGAACCTTCGTGCCGAGAGCCTTTCCTTTACCATAACCCAATACTTAGTAACCCAATCGGTAACTCAATCGGTAACTCAATAGACAACCCAATCGGTAACTCAATAATTAGTGACGTATAATCCTAATCCAATCACTGCACACGCGGGCCGCCGCCACACATGGCATACATGCACCAAACCTAAGTACACCAAACATACACTCCCAAAACCCAATAAACACACCAACACACCCAATAGACACACCCAACAGACCAAAGCTAAAGCACATAGGGTATAATAAAATAAGGCACAGTAACCCAATCCCCGCACGCGGCACTCAGCAACTGCGACTTGAGCCCCGGGAATAGAGTCGAGCCGAGCCGAAGAAACGAAAGCAAAGAAAGCAAAAGAAGAAGAAAAAAAGCAAACGCAAACGCAACGCAGACATTATCCCATAACAACCAAACTTTTTGCCATCGTCAGCGTCATTACCCCAAGCAAGTACTCAAGTAAGCAAGAGAAGCAAGCAAGCAAGCACCCGCCAAAAAGAAAGACAAGACAAGACAAGACAAAAAACTCCAACGATTCAAATCCGGACACAAAGCCAGCCAACCACATGACCACGAGATAGATAGAGAGAGGAGATAGAGAATAATAATGCTTCATTCCTACAGAGGGGAAACCAATTATTAAGTAGAAGAGGAGGATGGCCGACAGACTCTGTGCTCATCAGCCCCACCCCAAAAGCAAAATAGAATCCAAGAAAAAAAAAGAGACAAAAGAAAGAAAAAACAGACGACACCCCAAAAAGACCTGTTACCCGTAAGGCAATTGCACCGACCCGATCTATTCACAACAAAAAAAAATGCAGCAAGCACACGCGCCCCAAGGTTAAGATGAAAAGAAAGAAAAAATCAGATCAAATCAAAGAAAAACATTCCCCGTCAACATTGAACACCGTGGCAACAACGGATGGATCCGTCAGCACTACATTCCGGTGAGAAGGAAAATAATCAGCTGGATATTCTCAAGACATTCAAGCAGTAGAAGAAACTTTCCGACTCTGTGAATCATAGGAAGAGTGGGGCTGTTTTTGAAACTGTTTTTGCAAAGAGTTCTCACTGTAGTTGATACCGGGCTCGGGCGATGCCGAGTGGGTTTGAAAACTAGTTGGTGGTGGTGGGGGGAAGAAGAAGGAATCCTCGGGTGCAGACGTAGGGTACGTCGGCGAGTGATAACCCATCGAGGCCGATGACAGATGTGGGCTGCCACGGGATGCATGGGGGCTGGGGGCCGATGACATGTGTGGACTGCCCGATAGGGACATGTGCGGACTGCCAGACCTCTGGAACTCCGACTTGATTGATGGTTCAAGAATTGGTGGCAAAGACTGGTTCATCGGGCCGAGATACGACGGATTCGACGTTGGCGGGGGCCGGTTGACGCCAGGCATCATAACCGATGGCATCGTGGGCGTCGTGGTCGGAGTTGCTCGGGGAGTCAACGGTTGCATCTCTCCCCCTGTGAGCAGAGACAGCGGGTGAGAGGTGATGTTGCCGTTGCCACGGTACAAGTACTCTGGGCGTCCGAATGGCGATGGCATATCCAACGCTGGTGATAGCGACGCTGTCCTTTGACCTGGTGACGGCGTCGAGTGAGCGGATGACGTCTGCGAATCGTGACCCATGAGCTGCGCAGTCGGAGATTGCGGCGGACGTCCAGGCCGAGGAAGGCTCGGTCTAGCTGCCAAAGCGGCTGCGGTTGCTGCTGCCGCCTCGCTGATGGTTCCAGTGTGATGGTTCTGGTGACGGGTAAGGGTCGTACGCCTGTGTCTCTATTAGCTTACGTTCTCTCACTCCATAAGATATCTAGTCACGTACCGAGTAAAAGTCTTCTGGCAGTCCGCATAGGGACACTTGTAAGGCCTTTTGCCGGAATGGATCCTTCTATGCCGTGCTAACGAACTTGAATCACTAAAGGGCTATTGTGTATCAGCGAATATTCAACTATGAAACGGCGAACCGATAAGGATCCCGAGCCTACCTTTCCGCAAGTTTCACACATATGGGGCTTCTCTCCGGTGTGAACGCGAGCGTGCACAGTCAGGGCAGAACGTTGAATGAACTGCTTATCGCAGCCCGGAAAATCACAGACATGCGGCCGGATACCGCTGTGTATTCTCTCTGCAGTTCACTATCAGCCTCCGTTCCATCACCAAGAGCACAGATTACTACATACCGTGTCTGGCCAAGTCACTGCGTCGTGCGAAACCCTTGCCGCATGAGCTACAAGGGAAAGCCTTCGCTGAAGGGTCTCCAGTCGACGGTCTGCCGGGTCCTCGAATTTGTTGCTGTTGCTGCTGCTGCTGGTTCTGCTGCTGCTGTTGGTGCTGCTGCTGTAAATGCATATGCTGCTGGAATTGCTGCTGTTGTTGCATCTGCTGCTCGTGCTGCTGCTGCTGTCGCTGTTGGATTTGCTGTTGTTGTTGTTGCTGCAATGCACTGCTGTAAGCAACACTCATGGGCTGCTGGGGAAAGGGCGCCGGACTAGCCCCGAAAGGTGCCGCAGACCGATCCGAGGGTGTCGGAGATCCTGACGACTGGTGAGAGCCTTCATTTTCGGGAGCCAGTTCGGACCGCGGGCCGCGCAAATCCGGATCTCGAGGAGCTGCAATTAGATGAACATTTGCCTGCAGTTCTTGGTTAAAAGACATGCTCGGAGGGGCTGATTCTGCTGCTGCCGCTGCTCCTTCTTTGGTGTTGAGAATATTGGTTAAATCCATAAGTGAAGTTGGTCTGAGATGTGGAAGACGGAGGAAGAAAACTGGTACTGGCGCAGGGTAGAAGTATACCGTGCCGAGGGGTGTCTAGGATAGGGTATTCTGTCGGCGAGAGAAGCCTAAAATGTTGGCGACGATATCAACAAGTTCACCGGTGGCAGAGTAGCCGAATCCACAATGTGAACAAAGTTTTGGCTCGGCGTGGGTAGATATTAAGGGTAATCCTGTCGAGCCAGCTATCGACGGGAACCAGCAGGGTGCGGTAATGTGCACAGAAAACCCGACAGCCAAGTGCAGAAGCCGAGACGCCAACCAGCCGCAACCGCTAGAATACCCAATTTCTGCTTGAGACGGGGACGTCAAAGCCAGAGGTGGGTATGCCGAATGCAAGGTACCGAGCTTGAGCTTGGACGGAGGAGCGGGGCGGGGGAGGAGTTGGCAAACAAGGCGAGGCAGATGGGATGAACTTCGTCAAAGAAAATGGTTCGTTGGCAAGGGTCTGCGCAACTTGGGATATCGGCAACCCGCAGCGAAATCAAGTCACGTTACTCTGTTCTTTGGGGGGGTCGAGTTGTGTGTGGATGTATGTACGTTGGTGCAGATGATGTGAAGCTAGTGCTGTGGACGGAACAATGCGCTGTGATGATGATGACGATGAGGTATGTACAGAATCCGGATATCGTATAACCTGCTCCAAAGGGGGAGGCGGGGGGCGGCGGGTTAGGCGGAGTCGGTTCTTTTGGCAGGATGGCGGAGATGACTGATATAATCTGACGTGACGGTTATCGATTGAACACTACTTGTTGTTCTTCCGGTTGCCTGGTCGGCTTCTTGTTCACCGAATTTCTCGCCGATTGTTGCTCGCCAAAGGTAAAAATATAATGTATGCTTCAAAATCCTTTGGCAGTCGGCCTCGCTTGCAAATCTCTTCAGCGGTCGTCTTCGTCGTGGGATGTTCCGTCCTGATCTAAATCCTCCTGACCGTTGCCCTAGTGTGTCAAGCTCTGACCCAAAGCCCAATACGCCCGAGATCTTCTAGCAAGCACCGCAAAAACTCGCAGGTGGTGCTGAGTTGCAGGTACTTCGAAAAATTCGAAGTCGTCGATTAATATCGTCACCTCCGAAAGGCGGGCAGGTAGTAGAGCCTAGACCGGTGATCTTTCCACCACACTCGCTCGCTTCACTTCTCCTCCAACCTGACAAGAGTTCACACAAGGTCACCCGTCGAACAATCCGCAGGATACCGCGTCAAACGGAACAAGCAACTCTTGTCCGAACGCTTTCGGGTGACGAGTTCCCAATCTGTGCAACGTTCGCCGCAGAAAAAACGATGAGCAAATCCCCACTCTCAATCCGAAAGCCCAACCGCACAGACACTGGGTAAAAATTTCTCCTCTGAAAGAAAAATTCCAGAGCACCTTGGAGAACCTGCGACCAGACTGGCGTGGTCTTTTCCCCACCCTTCCTCGGCGACAAATGCAGAAAAACGACGCGCGCAGTTTCGCCCGGTCGTGTCTGGCTGAAAGAACTTTAGCCACCCGCCTCGTTCTGCCCGCAGATTCAATAAGCTTGGGCGCAGGCGGTTACGTGTGTGGTAGTATGCGGAAGTGCGTCTTAAGGGCGTGGTGTTCCGAGAGGCTGTCTGATGAACAAAAAGTCGTCAACTCAAGATCCCAGTTTCGCACTCAAAACTCGAACCGCGCAGCACGCCCCCCCCGCCCCCGTCCGTTCCTGGACTGTTTTTACTTACGCTGTCTGTCGTGTGCCTGTGTTCTCTCTCTCTCTTTCTGTCGCAGCCGGCCTAATGCGTTCCAGCAGACGTCTGTCAAAGGATCGCGGGAATGCGGTAATGTTTGGGCTCAGGCGTGCTGGCGGGAAAGATCGGACGACTCGGCAGCGCAGGTCGAAGCTAAGTACAGGTAGGAGTTTGCGGCCGTTGGGCGGGGGGAATATGGAATAATTATTATTATTCTAGGCGGCGACCGTTCGACGGGGTTGAGTGGTACGTGCGGTGATATGGAGGGTTGGGATGGCCGTCACTAAAGAACAACTGTTGCTGCTCGTCGACTCGATTTCTATGGACAGTATAGTAGTGGTAGTGGTACAGTGCGATAGTGGGTGGTGGGCGGGTATGCGATGGTGGGGGGTGGTGGGAGGGGAGGTGCGTGCGTGCGTGATCCGAGAAACGAGTGAGCGCGAGGTGGATGTGAGTGAGACTTTGCGGTAGGCAAGTAGTACATAAGTCCGTAGGAAGGGTAGTCTATGTGGTTTGCAAGTTGCAATTCGAGCAGCGGCAGCAAAACAGCATCAGCGCCGGGGGGGGATGATGGGTGGGTGGGGGGGGCGTGGGTTGTATTGTATAGTATGTACGGATCTGACGAAGAACACGCGCTGGGGTCTGTTCAGACTCTGGGGTCAACTTCAGGAGGAGCAGTCCGTAGAGTAGTACCACGAGGCAGGGGGGGGGAGGGGATGGGGCCGACCGACTGGTGGTGGTGGGCGTAAGCCTGCAAGATAGGTCCTTCTCTTAGACGAGCGCGATGGAGGTGCAACCCGGCGGGATGAGATGGTGGTGGACACTGGTGGTCCGTGCGAACGGAAGGAGAAGGAATTCGAAGCAGAACTTAGAAGAACCCTGGAAAGGCGAGCGGCGGCGGCGGGGACAGAGGACAGAAGTGGCTGGTACACATGCGGTACCTTGAGCAGTGTTCCATGCAGTCATGGCTGTCGTTTAAGCAACTCCGCTGTCCCCACCTCGATATTAACGGCAATAAAAGGCCCAGCACTGGCGATGGAACGAGGCCCGGAGGCGTTCTGACGGCGGACGATCGAAACGGAGGGAGGGGGGAGAGAGGACGCGAGCGTTGCGTGCAAATGGCCGTGGTTGCGTGGTGGAGGACTGGTATGGAAGGACATCCCTCGAGTACCAGGTACTTCTTACTTTGGTCCTTACCTCGAGCATCGTCTCGGGCTTTGTCATCACCGTCCAAACTTCTTCTTGCACTTCCCCGCGTCGCTACGGACCCAAGAGTGGTTCGCAACGCCAGGGACGGCCTGGGTCGACACTCGTAACCATGGGAAGCCCTCGCGTCGGCAACTCGCCCCCCCAAGACGCGACCGAGCCCGAAACCAGAACACACCAGCACGGGAAGGAATCCGCAGGCAACGGGCACTGAAACGACCTGGCTAACTAGCTTTTGCGTCTTCGGTTGCGTGATGTTCCTCGTGCCGCCAAGTGCGAAGCTTGCGGACTTTGTTTTTTTCCCATTGGTCTGCGGGGTTTGCGTGATGCTATTGGCCAGTAGATACCGATCTGAGTGCCCCGCCACATCTCTGTGCGTGTGTGTAGCATGGTACCTAGTGGACCGTGGTATGTATCACCGCGAGCCTCCCAGAATCGAACTTCCATTGGCACACCTCGCTCCTGGAGCTAGTCGGTCCCCACCGCGCAGTGCGTCGAACTGCAGCCTCCCCGAAGGGGCTCTAGGGTTGTTCTGCCAGCGCCGAAGATGGCAAAGCCGAAGATCAACAGGAGCACTACGTACCAGCGCAATGTCCACCTTTGTATGCTGTCCCGGCCCCACAGAGGTCTGGTGGCTTGCCATGTCCGGCCCGCCGATAGTTGACCACAACTTCCCGCGGTTGGAGAAGTCCCAACCGGCGGCTGGCTTTCGACCGTGTTCCGCTGCCAGACAGCCAAGAGAATCTGGTTCCAACCGCACAGGAAACGAGTCGATCAGATGCCATGCAGGGACCCGGGCCAGGCGGGAATCAATGAGGTGGTACTATAGGTACTATACTCCAGAGCGGCCCCGGATCCTCCAGCCTCGCAGTTGACGGCGACAAGAACCGGTATGGAGCATCTCTTTCCTGGCTCAGGAGCACTCCGTATCACTTCAGATTCTAGGCGGTCGTACACAGGTTGCTTTTGACGGACCTGCGGAACAAGTTGGTCGCTGGCTAGCGGACTTTCGGTGCCATTACTGGCCGGCTATGTAGGAGGTTTTCTTTTGCGGCCAAAACGATGGCTAACATGCCTTTTTCGAGGTCGATGTGTAGCTTCAGACTTCAGTAGCAGCCGAATGGACCCGGTGGATAGTGGCAGTGGCCGGGACAGAGATTGAGGAAGGCGGTGAGAATCCTTCCTTGACGCTGGGAATAAAAAAATAAAAACACACCGGTCTCAAGCCGAACACCTGAATTACTCTGGTACTGCGCTAGGTGAAGATGTTACATATCGCTCCGCACTCACCGCTGTAGTTACTTTACTTTATGCAGCACTTGATATTATTCACCTAGAGTGCTCGTGGCATGCTTTTAGTATCCAGACATACAGCCCTTTTCCTGGGCGTGAAGCCTTTTCCTAAGCAGTAATGTTTCATCCAAAATTCCCAGTTGCAGCAAAGATTCGCATGTCCCGGAAACTCCATCACGCTAAAATATTCCGGATACTTTATGCCTGCTACGAGTGGAAGGTACTCTGAGCACTCTATGGCCTTCGGTTGTACTCAATATGTTGGATATAAACTCTCATTGCTGCCAATAGTAGTAGGATAGCCATATGAACTGCCATTCCCGGGATATATATCCAAAAAAGCATAACCAGGACAGCAACGCAGGGTCTTCATGCTTTCCGCAAAGAAGCAAAATTCGAGCAAAGGGCGTAGTTACAAGGTCACTGGTAACTGAGATCGGGGGAGTTAAAGAGACCTGTAGCAGCTAGTGAATGGAGTGAGTGACTGCCCATCGTTCGAACGAAACAACAACTCTGCTCGAGCAATCGACTGTGCTCCTTCGATCAGGGAGCGGTGCCCTCTGCATAACCGAAACACCAGAGGGTCTGTCAGCTACTCGGGGTCGACATTTGCCTACTCTGATATATACCAAACATGCGAGATGGCCAGATCTGGCAATTTTGCCCAGAAAATTACTGCTTAGGTATTGCGGAGGAGCGGGATATAGAGTACTCTCTAGCAGAGTAGGTATCGTGACCTTCCATCCTCACAATGACAACGGCAGCTAGGTAATCACCCCACCCACCCACGACACACCACATTTTACCATCTCAAGCCTCGGCGACACATTCTTTTCCTAGGATATATTGTTCAATGTTTGGCAGTCAAGGAAACACGGTACTAAATGGATGTTGGATCCAGTATAGGAAAATACGTTTCTAGGCTTCTGATGATATCTACATGGGTTTCATTCTACCGGTGTATCGACTGGCTCCATTCAATTTGC